GCAGTGTCACAATGGGGCAGGGAGGTCCTGGGGTGGGGAAGGAATGCTGAGGAGCAGCATTCTATTCCAGGGGAGCAACTGGCCAGAGATACTTGGGACAGAACGGGGCAAGGCAGGTGGAGAGAAGCCCGTGAGCCAGCCCCATGCCTCCGTGCAGGCTGTTCCTGGAACTCGGAGCCCCTGCCGTCCCCGGAAGGGTCCCGCCTCCACGGAGGGAGGTCCAGATACCACCCACCCATCCTCAGTCCCCATGCCTGGGGGGGGGGGGGGGCGCGTGGTGGGAAGGAGAGTCAGAGGAGCAACAGGCCGTACCTCCAGCTGCTCCCGGATCTGGGGGCAGAGGTGAGAGCAGGGCTTTGGGCCTGGGCCCTAGGGGCTGCGCTGCCAACGCGGTGCAGCGGGGGTGGGGGGGCAGCGGAGGTGGAAGATTAGGTGGTGAGAAGCTTGGGAGCTTCTGCCGAATGGCTTCTCTTCTCTGAAAGCTGGAGGAGAAGCTACCCGTTGAGAGGGAGAAGGAAGGGACGCAGTGTGGAGGTGAGAAAAAGCCACCTGCGAGAGGTGGTAAACAAGCTGAGGTGAGAATGCTGGGTGCAGTTAAAGGCCCAGTTGAGGCTGATGACTGTTGGCTCACAGAACAGACCTGCCAACTGTGAGACTCCCTCCAGGCGGGCCCAGCAGGGCCCAGCGGTCTGGGGCACAGGGAGAGAGCAGGCAGGTGTTTGGGCTCCTTGGCTGCTATGGTTTTGTAAGTTGGGGTACCACCAAAGGGTGAAAAGGATAAAGTTTAGGGTGCTGGCAACCGGGAGAAATGATCTCCATCTCTCAGTAGAAATTAAAATGATGGCTTACATTCTCCAACCCGAGGACAGTGGTGGGGAGGCAGTAATGACGCCAACAGGCCACAGGGCCCACTGAGGCTAAGGACAGTGTTATGGACTGAAAGCTTGTGTCCTCCCTCGGTTGCCCAACTTTGTACATTGAAGCCCTAACCCCCAGGGATATTTGGCAGTGGGCCTGGGGAGGAAATGTACGTTAGGTGAGGTCATGAGGGTGGGCTTTCACGATGAGATCGGTGGCTTTCTAAGAAGAGATTCCTCCCCCTCCACCTGCGTGCAGAGGAAAGACCGCATGAGGGCACAGCGAGGAGCTGGCTGTCCACAAGCCAAGAGGAGGTCCTATCAGACCCTGGCCCTAGGGCCACCCTGATATTGGACTTCCAGCCTCCAGAGATGAGAGAAAATAAATTTCTGTTGAAAGCCACCGATCAATGGTACTGTTACCGCTGCGTGGGCCCGTGACGGCAGGTGAAGCCAGGTGGGAATGATGGGACGAAGGTTCAGAAGGCTGGGATGCTGCGGTCAGAGAATGGGATGTCTGATGATCCCTCACTTGTTCACTCATACGCCAGACATTTCGGGGGAGGGGGAGAGGGGTTTTCCCACGCTGGCGGCAGGAGCTGGAGTGGAAGGGACAACCATGAAGCAGGGAGCTTTAGGCGAATGGAACTGTGCGCGCTGGAGGGCAGGCAGTAGGAGCCAGGAAGGGGTAGGTTTCAACAAGAGGAGGTTTCTACAAGGGAGAAGGGCTGAAATGGTTGCGCAGTAGCGATGGGGAGCGAAGAGGCTCTCACCCCAGCTCCCTGGCGGGGAGAGGATGTGTGACCAGAGGAAGTGGGGGAGACAGAGTATCCTTCTAAAAGGACTGAGGACACAAGAGCTTCTGCTAAATTTAGAGCAGCAGCTGCAGAGACTCGGGTGTGGGACCACGGGGGCCAGGTCAGTGTGGACAGTGACAAAGTACAGGAGTTGGCTGAGGAATGGATGCGGGTGTCTTAGACTTTTGGCAGTGACATAGAAAATACAAGATGTGCCGTACAGTGATCAGTCTTGAGGGGCCTCTCTGAGGAGGGAGGGCACCAAGCCTAGTGGCCAGGAGGCTTCTTGTGGGCAGAAGCAAAGGACACGGAGAAGCTAAGCTATGTGTCCAGAGCTTGGGCCAGCGGAGCCACCAACCAAAGGGTCGTTACCTCCCAACTTCCTCTCCGACCCAGGCCTTCTCCTAGTTCCACAGCCGTCACCCCGTTTCATCATAGGGGTGTTGGGAGGATCAACGGAGGCCACAAACACCTGCAGTTAATTTCGTGTTTCTCTGCTTCTACTCCTGGCCCCTTCCAACACATTTTTTCAGGTAGAGAATAATTTTTAAAATACAAATCTCCTCGAGCTCTCTCATGCTTACAGAACGGTGGCTTTTAATTGCCCTTAGAATAAATTTCAAAATTAAGGATATGGTCTTAGAAGGCCCACATGGAGCTGGTTGCTCCAACTCCCAGAAGTCCCGTGGGGTGCTGAACACAGCACAGTGTACAGGTGATGTGTTGTGGAATTGTGCACCTTTAAACCTGCATAATTTTGTTCAAGTGTCACCCCCAATAAGGAAAAAAAAACCTCCCAGGAATCCAGGCAGCTGCAGCACCTGCCCATGGCTAGTCCCCCCCCCCCCCCGAAAGCATGTCCGCATCCCCTGCCTGCCTTCTCTTCATCTGGCCTGCAGGCCTCTCCAGGCCCCGCCCCGCCACAGCCTCAGCGGCCTTGTCTAATACCGCGGTGCTCTATCCCCCTTGTCCCTGGCATCCGTGCGAGGTTCCGGGTAGCTACAGAGAATTCTCCATCTCTGGGTTCAACCAGTTCCCAAAGGCAGAGCAAGGTGCATGGGTCTCCCTGACAGATGAGTGCCTGAGTGAGCAGCAAGTGAGGCAAATCGAGGGGTGTGTGAGTCAGGGCCACGCTCAGGGACTCAGCCCAGTCCTGAGCCTGGCAGCAACCCAGGGATGGAGGGTGGCCCTCCCTTCCTATCTCCTTGGGTCCTGGGGGCAGATTGCCGAAGACCTCCGCCTTTCACACTCAACCAGGGCACCCAAGATTAGAGTCCTTGGGGATTAGTGTCGAGAGACCTATGAGATCACAAATTTGATCATGGGAAGCCCGAGGCCCAGAGTAGGAGGCCTCTGGCACCCAAGCCTGAGCTGTGAGCCCCGCAAAAGCCCACCGTAACATGAGTAATGGGTCCACTGCTAGCGTGTGTCCTGAGTCTGGGCTGGGCGGCGCTCAGCAACACCCTAGGGAGAACAGCGTGGCCCAGCCCAGGCTGTCCACAGCTCCCCAGGGTGGAGCCCGCGCCAGGCCTGCCCGTCTTCTCTTCTGAGGTCCAGCTGCCCATCTCCTACCAGCAACCGTCAAAAAATGAACATTTACCCGTTGGCCAGAAGGAGCCACAGGGCCCTTTGTAATCCACCCAGAGAAAAGTCTTTCTCCCCAGCGGGCCACAATCCCTGAAGACGGGACAGTCCCTGAAGACTTGCCGCGAGGTAGCAGGTGACTTCTGCATTTCTGCTTGTGTCAGTGAGGGGTCTATTTTAAGTCTCTTTCCACGAGTGAAGATCACTGTGCCTCAAAGGGATGCAAGTGTCCACACCTTAGAGCTGAGAACAGCCTTCGGCTTTGAAATGGCCATCTCCCCACTCCTCTCGGGGGGTTTTCTTTCTATCCTTGGCAATGTCAGCTTGGGTGTCACACTGTGCCAAGACATACTTTTCACTGTCCCCACGGGAAACCTTGGGCATGGGACGCCAGATTGGGTGCACAGCAAGAGGCACAACGCAACTTTTCTTCATCACTTAATACCAGAGAACTGTGAGTAACAACTACCCATGTAATTGGAAGGAAAGTTGCTGGATGATTCCACATTGGGTTCACAAAGACAGGAAAACTGGTCCAGCACCTACCACTGCCTCCAGGCTCCATAAGAGAAGGGGAGCTGAGGGAGGGAGGTTCTGACAGAACCTCTACGGGACTGGGCTGCCTGGGACAACAAGAGACCGGAACCTCTCTCTCAGGACAGGGATCAGCCTGAAATGGCCTTGAAGGCCAGGCAAAGGAAGGGGTAGTGGCCAGCCAAGCTCTTTTCACACTCTGGGTGGCACAAGGATGGATGGTATCCCTGTGGCCCAAACAGCTGGGCAAGGTGGCCTGGCCTGAGGGACCGCACCTGAGGATTGTCCTGTAAGGTAAGGTATGCCAGCAGTAAGAGAGATGACGCAGGAGCCACGCTGGGAGCAGGCGCTGGAGAGGGTCCTGTGGTCAGTGGCGAGGACATTGGTCAAGTTAAGGAACAACACAAAGGTCCCGAGAGGATCGCTGGACAGCCTCAAACAGGCCTGGGAAGGAGTGGATTTCCAGGAACCCGTAAGAGTGCACCGACTAATGATTAGCTAGCATGACCTGGAAGGAACTGCATCTGGGAGCAGCCAAGCCAAAGCCCTCCCTGTAGGTCCCCCTGGCTCTTTAGTAACCAGAAGCAGTGGACTGTGAAACAGGGGCCGGGGCACAGAGAGGAACAGAGCCCATCTCCACTTGGTCCCTGGGCCACACAGGTTCAGTGCGAGCTGAGTTCCCGTGGCAGGATGGAGGAGCTTTGAAGAGAATGCAAGGCTGAAGCTTTCATTTCCCCTGCACGTCGAGGCTTCTCTCAGCAGGATCAAATGTCCTGTGGGACCCCTCCCCTGGTCCAGACAGTGGAAGGAACCGTCACCTCTCGTGACCCACAGACTTTTCACCCTCCTGCCGGGACAGAGAACTCAACTTCACAAGTTTTCTCCTACTGTACACACTCAGAAAGGCCCTACCTCGGTGTCCCGTTCTGGGTGTCACTGTGTTTAGAGGGCAGGTGGACCTCAGATTGAGAGGATTAGGGAGCCACAGCCCCACCAAGACTATCAGAGAACAAGTTAGACCAAGACCCAAGACCGGAACCTGGACGAGGGTGTTGGGGGTTGGGCTCCGGGGATAAGGCAGGTGATGGAAGGAAAGAGGCCCTGTCCCAGCCGCCCCAGGCGTGGGCCTGGCAGTCGGCACTGGTGCTGGCGTCAGGGGCCGGCGTGTCGCCTCCGTCAGCGGAGCCGGTCTTGCGCACAGGTCCCAGCTGTGTCCAGGGGAATGAAATCAGAAGTACGTGCTGCTCACAACGGCCACCCCTGGGCTGGACATTCTTCCTGAGTCCTCCGCTCCCTTCTCTGAGGGCTCTGCCTTCTGAGCCCTAAAGGGAGCAAGAAGCCGTCACTGGCTGACCAGAACTGGTCCCATGGCAGTGTCCCTCCCCGCCCCTTCCCAAAGGAGGGGGAATCTAACTCAAAGCCAGTCAGTTGTCTGGGGTTCCTAAAACCCCCGACATTGGCCTCTAAGCGACAGTGGGCAAATGGTGAGGTAGAGGCATGGGCTTCTGACATGGGGGCCACTGATGGGACGCCCGGGCCCCGGGCTTCGGAGAAAGCCAGCAGCTCACCACGGCTGGGGCTGCTGCTCCAGGTCCTGGATGGTGTCCTTTATGGTCTGGCCACGCGTCTCAGGCAGCAACACACAGAGTAAGCCCGCCCCGATGGGGAGGCTGCCGTAGATGACCTTCGGGAGGGCCTTGTGGTAGTAGGCCAGCAGCATCACCAGGGGCGTGAGGATGCCCGCGATCCTTGAGAAGATGGCCACCAGCCCCATGCCCGTCTGCCTGGGGGAAGGCCAGCGCCACCTGAGCAGACCCGACCTCCGCTCCGGGCCGCGGCGCCACCCCAGCACCCTCCCGTGGGAGAAAACTCCTCACAATGGCCCCACGGTTGCTGCAGGGTCTCCTGGCTCCTCTGCCCCTCCCGGCCTTCCTCCTGCACATTGAGCTCCCGAGAGTCCAACCGAGGGCCCTGTGCCTGCCGCCTCCAGGCCTCTCGGTCGCCAGCTGCTCTCCTGCTCGTCTGTCCAGTTTCAGGTCAAATGCTGCACCTGCCGCATATCCCCTCCCCTGCCACCCTGTGACAGTTCCTCTTCCTGGGTCATCCCTCCCTCAACGTATTCCGTATTCCAATCCTGACAATCCCGACATAGCCAGAGCAGGGCCTACTTCCCTATCTGTCTTCCACCCGCCTGGGGACCACTTGCGGCTTGGGCTGCCCCAGAGCCAGCCTTGAAAGCTAGTTGTGGACCTGCTGTGAGCGGGGAGGAGGGGTGGCCAGCACCGGAGTCTCTGGAGCAGGGCAGCGGGAGCTGCGGCGCTTACCTGATGATGGTGGGGAAGAGCTCCGCAGAGTATACGTAGGAGATCGTAAACCCAGAGGCTGTGGCAAACTTGCCCACAATGGCCAGCACGGTGGTCACTATGGGCAGATCTAGAGGAGGAGGCTTGTCAGCCACATGAGGGGCAGACGGTCTCCTCACCTGGGTCCTGCACCCTGCCTGGTCCACCCAGACTCTGCAGCCCTTCTGAACCCGAACCCCAGGGAAGCCCTCCCTCCGGAAGGGCAAGCAGTAGGCCACAGGCAAGTCAGGGTGAGTGGAGACAGGGGAGAGCTGGTACCTGCTGGGATGAAGATGGTGCTGATGCACATCAGGCCACCCACAACCAGAGTCCCCAGCTGGCTCCATCTGCGGCCAAACCGCTCCATCATGAAGATGCTGGAGTAGCGGGCAGGGACCTCAACTGCTCCGAAGATTAGTTGCGTCAGGTAGATGTCCAGGCCAAAGTCCCCCACTTGGAGGCTCAGACCAAAATACCCCAGACTGTCCACAAACCTACAAAGCATCCAAGGGTCCCTGTCACTTTTGGGCGATAAGACCATCACACTCAGGGAGAGAGCCTGACTTGGCCCGAAGTCACAACAGGAGAAGGTAGCACAGCCAGGGAGAGACCCAGTCCTTCCCGCAGAGCCCCTCCCAGCCGGAAGGTCACCATCCCACATCCCACTGACACACACCAGGGAAGGGGCAGCCCTTCGCTGTGGCCTCAGGGGGCGGCCGGGGCCCCAGGGCCCTCACCAGATGAAGAAGAGAATCAGGGTCACCTTCCGGAGCTGGGGGTGTCGGAACAGGTCCAGGGCATTCCCTGTGGGGCCTGTCTTCTCTGGCACCATCTGAGAGGAAGATGTCGTGTGAGGGGCCAGCAGAGGAGTGTGTGGGGGTCAGATGAGGGGGCAGGCAGGGTCGCCTGCCCTACATACCTGACTCAGCAGCTCTGGGGAGAGTTTCCGCCTGTTGACTGAGGCTGCCTTCTGGATCACTCGTTTAGCCTCCTCAACCCTTCCCTTGGTCAGGAGCCACCGGGCAGATTCTGGCAGAGCCCTGTAGGTCAGGAATGGGTGTGACTGGCAGGCATGGAGTCCTAGAGCCTCCCCAGTGCCCCAGGAGCCTCCCTGGCTGTCCCAGTGCACACGGAACCCCACAGCCTAGCAGGCTCCCTCTCCCAGAAGTGTCTCTGAGGATCCCGGAGGCGAATGTGAGGGCTACACTCCGACCCCACGGGAGCACAGCTAACCCAGGCTGGCTGGCTCCGGGAAGTAGCTCCTCACCAGAAGTAGAAGAAGAGCAGAAGGACAGGCGCACTGCCGGCGATCTGGAAGAGCCTCCAGTCACGGACGCCGTAGGCAAGTCCCGCGAGGGCCATCTGCCCGATGGAGAAGCCGCACTGGGCCAGGACCACGGCCTGAGTCCGCCGCGAGGGCCCCACCCACTCTGCAACTGTGAACAGAGGCTGAGACCGGGCCTGGCCCTGCCCTCTCGCACCCTGTCTCCCGAGAAGCCGCCCTGTCGGGGTTGAAGTCTTAGTCCCAGCCCAGGAAGCACAGGTGTGACCACTTTAGGTATGGGTCCCTGACCAGACCCCCTCAGGCAGTCTGGGGAAGGAGGCCAGTCCCCAAGGCCTCTCCCTGGCAGGGCTGAAGCCTTCGGGCCAGATACTCACGTAAGGTGACATTGGTCAAGGCATATCCAGACACGGCAGTAGCCACAGCAAAGCGCATGAACACATAGAGATCAAAGTTGGGCACAAAGGCCATGCCCACGCCGATGAGGGCAAAGAGCAGCAGCTGTATCAGGATACTGACTTTACGACCAATCCTGAAGTGCAAAGGGGACAGGTCCAGGAGGAACTCTCTGAGGGGAACGAAGGAAGGGAGACCCAGTCCTGCCCTGTGTTCTCTGTGGGAGACACCTATGCTAAGGTAAGGGATGTGCTGGTCAAGGTCCTTACCAGTCACAGAGGGGCCCAAAGATGAGAGCACCAACGAGGAGCCCCGCCATGTACACTGACTGCGAGGTCTCCTGCAGGTGCTTCCGGTCACACACTAGGTTGAACTGAGACAGACACAGGCAAGTATGAGTCTAGAGGCAGCTGGGAGCAAGTCCTTTGTCACTTAGGCCACCCACTACAGACTTCCCAGGGCAGCTGCCCTCAGTTCCCAAACTGTGCGCCAAATTCCCCCGGGGAACCAGAGTGAACTTACAGGGCTTAGCATGATATTTAAAATACTGCAGGAAAATAGAGCCAATACTCAATGTCTGCCTGGTAGCACGTGAACTACTACTAGCTCAGGACAGTTGTTTCAGCACGAGATTGTGCTACTTTCAGTGACATCAGCTCTGTGGGACGTTGTATTTTGGGCAGTTGCTGTGAAAAGAAGCAAGAACCAGGAGAGAATCAATGTGGATCAGGGAACGAAGGCAGTGATGGTTAAGAGTTGTGAAGTTGTGCCATTCCCAACCAATAGCCACATGCCTCCTATTAATTGTATTTATTTAAGAACAAGATATGGGTGTGAGGGGAAGGGGGCGGGTGGAGGTAAAAGAGGTATAAGGGGGATACATGGTAATGGGAAAAATACAATAAAAATAATTTTTAAAAAAGAATGAAAGAAAAAGGTGTCCTTTCAATTGATGTGTCTTATTTTTTTAAAGCAGCTATTCAATTGTTAGGACATAAATGTTTACATAGCTTGCAGGGTCAAAAATTCCTTCGTAAATAAAACTGTGACATGTTTCTTCTGGCCTGGAGAGGCCATGGAAAATGACGGCCACACAAAGGAGGCAGCGACTGGGGACCTCTGGCAGAGCTCCGACTGCTACTCCCTGACAAACACGGGGCCTCTTCGTCACAGCCACGGACCCCTGTGACCCACCTGGGCCTCCCAAGTTTTCACACCTGGAAGCAAAAGCCCCTTGAAACTCTTATCATTCCCCGGCAATCAGCACTAAGGGGTCCTCGCACACCCCTCGGGGGACGAGGGTAGGACAGAGAAGTGTGAGCGCACATGCACAGAGCGGTGGTGTTGGGAGTGGGGGCGGCGCGGCGCACCTGGAGACACACAGAGAGAACCCGACGGACAGACTGGGGAACCCCTCGGGGAAGTGTGCCTGCCCATATACTGCTGTACACGTCTACGCATGTGCCCACACAGTAAGTCCACGTGACCGCCCCAACCCCCCCGGTTTCTGGGCCCCTCAGGGAGTTCTGCGCCCCCTACCCCCAGCTCAGCTCCATACACAAATGTTTGTGGGGGAACGTGACATGCGAGCTGCCCTCCAGAGCTCATAGAGGTAGCTTCCCAACACTGACCAGTGCCTTTTGAGTGCTGAATCTGTGTTGGGTGCTATGCCTAATGCTTTACGTCCATTACCTCAAATAATTCTGACAACAATCCTTGACTTACTACTATTCCCCAAAGGAAAGGAGAGGTTAAGCAGCTAATCCTTGACCCCACAGCAGCAGCTGGCCTCAATGCACAGCTTGGCTTTGCCTGGGCACCTTCAAGACAAGCACAAGTTGCAGCTGTCTGCAGATTGCTTTGCAGCTGATGCAGAGTGGCTCCAGGCAGTGGCTGACCCTACTCCCCGGGAGACCCCAGAGCCAGCGCACACAGTGGACAGCTTCAGATCATGCTGAAGCATGACCGCCCAACCACCTCCACAAGTGACACGTGCAAGGAGCGAACTCAGTGGGCACCAGAGCCCCACTGAAGTCCAGCTGTGTGGGACGGGTCCCTGCCTAGCTATTCCTCTCCGGTGGCTGGTGGTTGTAACCAGTCCTTGCAGCTGATTGACCTAGGACTGAATCCCTTTCATTAATGTGCCAAAAACAATCAAGTTTCAACTACAAGAGGAAGGTGTAGGCACCCACATGCAGGGGGTACACCTTGAGTGCCCAGCTTGGGTGAACAAGGAGGCTGTGCCACTGGACCCTACAGGATACCTACTAAATTAGGCCACACTACCAAAACATGGTGTCACAGCAACTCTACTTAATAAGTAGAAACAAACACAGGGAGGCTGCCAAAACAAGGAGTCAAAGAAAAAACAAAACTCCAGAAAAAGAACTAAACAAAATGGAGACAAGCAGTCTACTAGATGCAGGTTCAAAACCCCGGTTATAAGGATGCTCAGAGAATTTAGTGAGAATGTCAACAGTATACAGAAAGACCAGTCAGAAATGAAGGATACATTAACTGAAATGAAGAACAATTTACAGGGAATTAATAGTAGAGTAGAAGAAGCTGAGAATCAAATCAATGATTTGGAATATAAGGAAACAAAAACACCCAATCAGAACAGCAAGAAGAAAAAAGAACCCCCCAAAACCCACCCTCTAGGAAGAAACAGAGTGGGCCTAGGTGCTTTCCGAGGCATTGTCTTAACCTGGGGCGGCTGGAGCGGGAATCTTCCTGTTTTTCTGTCTGAGTCCCTCCAAGAGAATGAATTTATTGGCAAGAGCAAATGCTCAGTATTCAACAGGACAAGTCCTAGAGTTATGGGTGTCCACCAGCCTCCCAGAGGTCGGCCCACGGAGATCGGGAGAGAGAAGGTGAAAGTAGGGAGCCCAAGTCAAGTGAGCAGAATGGCAGATGAGTGGATAGGGCAAGGGAGAGCACGAGAGAGTTAGGAAAACAAAGGAAGATTGGTAAGGAGGCATACGCGCAGGGGCAGGCTGAAACACAAAGGCAAATGGACAGGCAAGTGAGAACATGGGAGAGAGACAAAAGCATAAACATAGAAAAACAGGAGGGGGCAGGAAGGAAGGCAGGCAACTGGGCAGACAGGCAAAAAGGCATAGATGAATGGACAGATGGGCAGAGAGATCACAGAAAATGGATAGGGGGTAGACAAGGCTAGAGGGCAGAGGAAAAGAGAAAAACAGAATCAACAAAAAGATAAACAGGCATATCAATGGCTGATCATTTGGGCACAGGAGCACAGGGTAAGACAAAGACAGGGGTCCCGGGGATGGAGAGCAAATCATAAGGCCCAGGAACTGACAGACATAAAACAGGTGGACAGCCAGCCAAAAAGGCAGCCTACCTCATTCTTCAGGGACGGTGGCTTATCTTCAGGATAGTCCCAGCCCGCCACACATGGCTGTGTCTCATTGAAGCGGTGGCTGAGGATGTCGTCCAGGCTGGCACCATCGGGGGGAGGCCGGAACATGCGGCAGGGCTCAGGGTTGCCTACAGCATCCAGAGGCACGCTCAGGGACAGCTGCTCGGCAGCACTCAGGTTCAAGGTGTGGTTCTTGACCCACGCCACCGAACAGTGGTGCGTCTCATCCAGGGTCATGAAGACTTGGGCAAACATGTAGTAGGCACCCAGGATGTTGGGGACAGTCAGCAGCAGCAGCAGCTGTATCTGAAAGCGACCGAAGTCACCAATTTCAGCCAGAACCTGAGAAAACTGAACCATGTTTACTGGTCACCAAGTCCTCAGCCGGAGGCCGGTAGAGAGCTGTGCACCTTGGTCCTGGGTTACTTGCTCTGCCTGGCCGTGATATGGCTGCTTTAATGTTTAATCCAGTCTCGTCCAGTTCCACCTTCACACCTCAGCTCCCTTGGAAGGATAGGCTAGGATGAAAAAAAGAGTCCACTGTGGCTTGCAGAATCAGAGGATGTTTTATTGACTATGTGACAGACACTGGCATCGCAAGAACCAAGGAAATCTTCTCGGGCCCAGCACACAGGACAGAGTTTTACCTGAACATTAGACAGTGTCCGCCCCTGCCCCCACCAACTGCCACCTCCTAAGCAATTCATACCCAGTTCAGTAGAACCCAAATTCTGAGAGTAGTTGTGATAGCCAAAGGGACACAGAAGTCCCTTCTAGCAACCGGCTCATGCTAAGAGAGCTGCAAGGGCCCATATATATTAACTCTGTCCCCGGACCATTCTAGCCTCTTGACTCTGGTGATCTCATCTTTCCCCTGTTGGTTCCCGGTGCTGGTGGTAGGCAACCGCGGGCCGTCCCAGGGCAGCATGAGGGCCAGGGGAGCCACTGAGGGCACGAATGCTTTTCCTTTTCAGCACTAAAGACAATTCAAGAATGCAGCGAAATAACAGAGCAGTAAAGAATTGCATTTTCATCTCTAATCAAGGAATCAACCACAAAGACAAGGCCAAGATTAAAAATAAATGCCAGCTGCCCCAGAGTAGCTCCAGTGACCCTAGGCAATCTCCATGACAACCTAAGAACACAGGACAAAGTTTCTACCAGAGGCCCCAGCTCTGGAAGTCCAGTTGGTGGTCACCCCTAACCTTGCTGGAGTTGGGATTCTTATAGGATGTGGGACAAAGGGAGGACTTCAAAGAGGAATCCTCCCAAGATAAAGGCTCCTAGCTTTTACCCCTTGGAAGGCATCTAGTTCAGTCATGGGAGCTGGGGAATGATGGCTTAAAGAGAACATTAGGAAAAAATACATGTGTATATATGCACACACATTAACTTATTTGCTTGTGTATGGATAAGAAAGCCTTTATAGCCCTAGCTGGGTGGCTCAGTTGGTTGGAGTGTCATCCCACATACCAAAAGGTTGTAGGTTCGATTCCTGGTGAGGGCACATACCTAGGTTGCATGTTCAATCCCCAGCTGGGGCGCATACAGAAAGAAACTGATAGATGTTTTTCACATCGATGTTTCTCTCTCTCTCTCTCCCCTTCCTCTCGCTCTCAAATCAATAAATATATCCTCAGGTGAGGCTAAAAAAAATCATTTTCATATTTTCAACTTGGAACCATTTTAACAGCCAGGTAGAGAAACATGGGTAAGGGAATACAAGGAAGCCAGGGTGTGCAGGAGAGCTCTGGACACAAGTGCCTGCATCTATAAGGCACAGCCTCTGGCTGCCTGTTCATTACTCAGCACGGGTTTAAGGTGGGGCAGCCCGTGGAAAGCAGAGGTAAGGGTACACGATGTTGCGTGGGAAGAGTGCTATCCTCTCCACCACCCACCGCAAACTCCCCACCAGGGAGTATCTCTCATGAACAAGGATGCCAAAAATCCTCAACAAAATATTAGCAAACTGATACAACAATGTATAAAAAGAATTTTATACCATGACTAAGTGGGATTTATCCCAGGTATGCAAAGCTAGTACAATATTTGAAAATTAAATGTCATCGAGAATGTCATCCTTTGCATCAACAAGCTAAGGGGGAAAAAAGTCACATGATCACATCAATAATGCAGAAAGAGCATTTGACAAAATCCAGTACCCATTCATGATAAAAACTCTCAGCAAATGAGGACTAGAGATGATCTCCTCAACTTAATAAAGAACATGTACAAAGAGCTATAGCTAATATCATACTTAATAATGAGAAACTAGAAGCTTTTCAGGAACAAGGCAGAGACATCTTCTTTCATCATTGCTTTTCTTGAAAAATTTTATTTATTGATTTTTTTTTAAGAGAGGGGGCAGGGGAAGAGAGGAAGAGAGAGATTGATTTGTTGTTCCATTTATTTATGCATTCATTGGTTGATTCTTGTATGTGCCCTGACTGCGGATGGAACCTGCCACCTTGGCATTATCAGGACAACATTCTGTCTAACCAACTAGGCTACCCAGCCAGGTCGCCATTGCTTTTCTTCCTTCCTTTCCTTCCCTTTCCTTTCCTTTCCTTTCCTTTCCTTTCCTTTCCTTTCCTTTCCTTTCCTTTCCTTTCCTTTCCTTTCTTTTCTTTCTTTCTTTCTTTCTTTCTTTCTTTCTTTCTTTCTTTCTTTCTTTCTTTCTCTCTCTCTCTCTCTCTCTCTCTCTCTCTCTTTCTTCCTGCCTTCCTGCCTTCCTTCCTTCCTTCCTTTTCTTCTTTCTTTCTTCCTTTCTTTTGTTTTTTCTTTTTCTTTTTTTACAGTAGGTTAGAATTCAGTTTAACCATTGCTTTTTAACATCATGTTGGACATCCTCCTATATAATTCAATGATATAAGAAAAAGAAAGAAAAAGTATATAGATTGGGAAGGAAAAAAGAAAACTGTCTTTATTGACAAATGACATGATTATCCAAAAAACCCAAAAGAGCCCTGGCTGGTGTGGCTCCATGGACTGAGCGCAGGCCTACAAACCAAAAGGTCGCTGGTTCGATTCCCAGTCAAAGGCACATGCCTGGGTTACAGGCCAGGTCCCGAGTTAGGGGTGTGCAAGAGGCAACCGGTTGATGTACATCTCACACATTGATGTTTCTTTCCCTCTCTTTCTCCTTCCCTTACCCCTCTCTAAAGGTGAATAAAATCTAAACAGACAAACAAACAAACAAAACAAACCCAAAAAACCCAAAACCCCAAAAGAATCATATGAAACAAGTGGACATCCACGGGCAAAAAAACCCTGAATCTAGACAAAGACCTTACACTCTTCACAAAAATCAACTCAAAATGGATCATAGACCACACTGTAAACAGCAAAACTATACAACTTATAGAAGATGACGTAGCTGAAAATCTACATGACATGGCAATGGTAATGGCCTTTTAGATGCAACAGGAAAGGCATGACCCATGAAAGAATTGATAAGCTGGACTTCATTAAAATTAAAACATTTGGCTCTGCAAGGGAGTGAAGATGACATGCCACAGACTGGGAAAAAAATATTTGCAAAAGAGGTATCTGATAGAAACTATTAACCAAAATATATCAGATAAAGAGATATCTGATAAGGAACTATTATCCAAAAACTCTTAAAAGTGAATAAACAACCTGCTTAAAAATGGGCTTAAGACCTTAACAGACACCTCACTGAAGAATATATTCAGATAGCGAATTAGCATCTGCAGAGATGCTTAAGATCATGTCATTAGGGAATAGTATATTAAAATGTGATACCACTGTATACCTATTATGACAGACAAAATCTTAAACACTGACACCACCAAATGCTGGCAAGGATGTGAAGCAACAGGAACTCTCATTCACTGGGCACTTTGGAGGACAGCTGGTGCTTCTCCCAAAACTAGACATACTCTTACTGCACAGCTCACAATCAGGCTCCTTGATATTTATACAGAGCTGAAAAATGTGTATCTGCATAAAATGAATGTTTATGGCACTTTTATTCATAACTGCCCAAACTTCTAAGTAGGTGAATGGATTAATACAGCCAGACATAGAAGATTTTTCCATGCTAAAAAAAAATGGGCTGTCAAGCCATGGAAAGACATGGAAAAACCTTAAACACATATGACTAAGTGAAGGAAGCCGTTCTGAAAAGGCTGCGTACTGGATGGTTCTAACTATATGACATTCTGGAAAAGGCAAAAGTATGGAGGCAGTAAAATGATCAGCAGTTGTCAGGGGCTAGAGGGGAGACAGGAATGAACAGGCAGAACTCAAGAGGGTTTTAGGGCAGTGAAACTCTTCTGTACAATAGTGTAATGATGGATACACTATTACACATGTGCCCAAGCCCAAAGAATGCACAGCAGAAACAGTGAACCTGAATGTAAACTATGGACTTTGAGTGATAGTGACATATCAATGAAGATTCATCGACTACTTTGGTGTGAGATGTTGATAGTGGGCAAGCCTGTGCATGTGTAGATTCAGGCAGTATATGGGAACTCTGTATACTTTCTGTTCAATTTTGCTATGGAACTAAAACTGCTCTAAAAAAATAAAGGGGCAGATGAGTTGACCCAAAGAAGGAATCCACGATCTGTTGCCTGGAGCAGTTACTATAAAGAGACAGGCCTCTTGGCAAGATCGGCAACGGGCAAGTGTCCTCACAATAGTCGAGTCCACTTTTATGACCCACTTATCTTAACAAATTCAATCAAATCTGGTAACTGCCAATTCCAAGGCTCCAGGACTTGAGCTCTGGGTTGCCAAGACCCACCAGCAGTCCTATCGTTGGTCAAAGGCCACCTTCTGTTGGGAAGGAATTAGGATCGTGGAGACTGACTTATCCAGGAGCTGGAGGGATATATGGGGCCTAGAACTTCACGAAACCTCACCGTTGCAGTATCAAAGCCAAATCAGACAAGTTCAGCCCTGCTCTGAATTTTCCAAAGGGAATTCCCAAAAGCTTGAATCAAGCATCTCTCCCCTGCCCAACCCCTGCACAGAATCAATCAGAAAAGATCAATACAGGGAGCTCTCTATCCCACCTTGTCAAATTTCTTTGGGTAGATCCTCTCCCCCTTCCACTTTCGGGATTTCAGTTTCCCTGTCTGTAAAACGACTTTAAGCTATTCTAATTTGTAAATCACTATGCATATTTTTTGATTTCTAGTTTGTGTGTACTTTGGCTTTTCTTATTTGCATGAAAAATTAAACTTAGTAGTGATTCCCTGACCCACTCCCACTACCCACCACTAAAGTAAAGATGCCTTACACCACCACAGACAATTTACTCTTTATTGATTAAAAATGAAGAAAACATGCAGCAAAATACAAAGTCAAAAAAGGGGGAGGAGTCAAATATTTTACATCTTCCATAATCTACCATACGTCATAAGGAGAAACCTCCATTTATTGATACATCATTATTCTATCCTCCAGATTATTAAATAGTTATCAGCTGGCTCTAGGATTTGGTTCAAAACTTAAGCAAAAACAACCAAACAAATCCAACAGTCATTTAGAAAGACCATACATTTCACAAACAGCATTGGCACATGTTACCTTGTGCTAGTCAGTCCCTACCCCAGGGACCAGGGAATCCTGGGGACCCCAGGACAGAGATGTACCCTGAACCACCCACCACTTCTGGAAAGGAGCAAGGTCTCTCACTAGGTTACATGTTGTCCCACCCGGGAAGTTTCTGTTCACTGATTTCCTCAGCACCACTGTGCAAGTCAGCAAAGGAAGCCCACCGTCCTGCAGAAGAAACAGCACTGTCCTGGGGCTGGGTGACTGACTCCTAATTCCCAGCAGGGCAAAAAATGAACTGAAAGGGAAGAGGAAGCCCCAGCTCACTTCTGCGGTCATGCCTGTCCCACTGCAGTTCCAGCGTAATGGCTGGCTTGAGAAGCTCAACAGCATGCGTTGCTGCTTCCCCCAGCCTGAGCTTCGGATTGCCCCCAAACAGAAAGCTAGACCAGTGACACCACATCCTGTGGATTCATAAATGCGTAGACTGTGATGGGCTTATTGACACCAAAACACAAACTCTGTATAAGTCACTAGTCTTGAAGAGGATACTGTTTCCTTTTCAAACTTCTTCCTACCTCCTTGTCCTCATTCCCTCTACCTGCCCCCAAAGAGAGAGAAGAGAGAAGAGAAAAGAGAGAAGAGAAGAGAAGAGAAGAGAAGAGAAGAGAAGAGAAGAGAAGAGAAGAGAAAAGAGAGAGGAGAGAAGAGGAGAGGAGAGGAGAGAAGGGAGGAGGAGAGAGGAGAGGAGAGAGGAGAGAGGAGAGCAGGAGAGAGACAAGGAGAGAGGAGAAGAGAGGAGGAGAGGAGAGAGGAGGAGAGAAAAGAGAGCTAAGTGATTTTTTTCCAGCAAACCTGTCACCCTTCTTCCCTCTTTCCAGGCCCAGCAGGTTCCCTCCTGCTAACAATCCTGTGGGGACCATGGACTTTGGTGTCCGATCCTCTAATCTACTTTCTCCCAACCCCCATCTCAGACCCATCCCCTCTCCTACTCTCCAACATCCACCCCTTTCCCAACATGCCTTTGCACCCAGGGTAGGTGAAGAAAGCCCGTGACGGAAACTCTAAGCTCAGGATGACACCAGAGCTGTGACAAGTCGGTCGTGGGAAAGCTTTCAGAGATGCTCCAAGAGAAAACTAGGTCAAGCGATCCTTTTACTATTCACGGACCAACAGTGCTGGGAAGGGCTGGTACCGCTGTGTAAGGGGCAGCTCTCCCCTTTTCAATGGGCCAAAACCCCTCTGTGTGTGTCGTTTAAGGCCAGATTGAGGATCCCTTTCATATACAAAACGTGTTAGGGCTATTTGTAGTTAGACAAAGGCTGACTGTGAAACAGTAGGAAAAAAAAAATCAACCCCACTGATTATTCACATATTGCATTATGAGTGCTCTTTTTTAAAACCTAAAGAATAATTTATATTATTTCTGTAGAAAATCAAATGAATACTGTCTACTCAGAAGTCCTAAGTCACGGCACATGTGGTTTCACTTTCCGTCTTGGGTCGGGCTCCACACACCGCAGTGGGGACCCCTCCGAAGGGCTGGGGCAGGCGGCCCCGCCACCCGGGGAGTCTCCTTTATTGCTGTAGAAATCGCAGCCTTGTGTTTCCTCAGGACTTGGAGGCCAGGCAAACTGATTTTCATGGGAGGATTGAGGAGCAGCTTTGCTTCAGTTTAATTTTTTAAATTCTGAAAATAAATAACTTCCACAATGTATGAGTTATGATTTTTCTGTCCAAAACCACTGCTGGGAAAATTCACTTTTATAAGCCAATACTTGATGTTTTCTCTAAAAACAGCTCAAAGTTCCACTTTGAAGGACCTGCTGGCTGAAGTCTGACTGCAGTCAGATGTTGTGCACCCGCTGAGGTTAAGGCGAGCGACCCTTTCCGGAGGGAGTAATGAAGAGGGTGCCTGAGAGCAGCTTCAGCAAAACGCTCCGAGACGACAGGAGCAAAACCAGAAGACAGGTCAGGCCGCCTCCGGCCGAGGCTGTGCTTCTTCCTAACAAAGGTTGCTAGAATTCACGTCAGATACAAAAAGAATAAAAATCCCTAAATTAAATTCTCTGGGGTCCGGCTGAACAATCAACTTTTAATCGCTACTTCAGTAGGGGTAAAGAGATAGCCTAAGATGCCCACATCCTGCCAGGTGTGGGGAAACAGGTGGCACAAGGAAGCCCCAGGGAGCTGCTCCTTTCCACCCGGCGCTGACACGGAGTAAGGCAAGGCGAGCTCAAAGATCCCCCTCCTGGGCCTTGAGGCAGGGGCCGCTGCTCAGATGGAGGGGGAGAGAGGACGTGTGCGGTGAGTCTACTAACGGAACTCTTAAAGGGATGCTGGCCACTGGTGATCCGACGTTTCTTTCCCTGTGGGAAAGGGGGGATGATGGCAGGAAGAACATACAGAAAGACCTCTAAAGCTCCTAGCTGGGAGGTTTGCTGCTGGGTTCTTTGGCAGTAGTGGGCTTAGGCCAACAGAAGCAACAGAGATACGCATGTGTGGACTCTCCTGAGGCCTCCTCTTCCAGGGCTGTCATTTAGCTGATGCTGAGCTGGGCAAATCCTATGAGTTTACCATCGTCGGGAATGTCCGAGCCTTCAACACCAGATGCCTAAGAACCAAACAAAGTAAGAAGCTGTGGCTATTTATAAATAAATTTCGGGAAGCAATTAAAACTGATAGGGGGACTGTGGGAAGGCTGGCAGTGGGGGACAGGTCCCTGGGAAACAAACAGGGCAGATGAAGGTGTCTTTTCTAGAAAGGATGGAGGCTGGGCACACAGCAGGAGCCAAACTGGCTCACAGTCTCCTGAGAACAGTCAAGGGCCCGGGGTAGCAGGCTTCCTGGGAGGGGCAGAGGAAGGAGGCTGCTCAAAGGGAGACTTCAGACCAGGGCCTTGGGGGCACTAAATGAACATAATATACGATATTTTAAAATTCTCATCACCCAGAGGATATGGAATGTGGTCTGCAGGGGCTGTTGGTGAGTAAAAAGTAAGATGGTTTAACAAAGGGGAAGAGACAAATACCAGTTTGAAAGTGACAGATCGATTCGACTGAGGTTCTTCCACAATTTTCTGCAAATTAGCTGCCACTGTAATCATACAAACAGAGAAAGAATTAAGAATGTTACTAAATCCACTTTCAACCATATTTTAAGAACTTAAATGGTAGTTTAGAATCTTCTATGTACAATTAAATCAGAAGCAGAAAGGTAAATCACTCCCCAAGGGACAGTATCTTTTAACCTCAATTCCAAGTAGCACAAGTAAATCTCGAATCACTGTCAAATGCACTTTCTTTAAGGTGCTGTATTAACTTAGAAAAGAAACTCAAGTTAAAGAAGTATGATTTGCATATTCACAGACCTGAAAGCCAGCAAACTATGGCCTGCGGACTATTTCTGTTCTGCCTGGGAGCTAAGAAATGTTCAAAAACAACAGACTGCACGTGACCCATAGAGCTTAAATTACTATATGGCCCTCAACAGAAAAACTTCACTGATTTGCCCTGGACATTGGTCTTTTCCCTCCATAATAAGTAAATACGACCTGACTGTGCCTTTTCTTACTTCCTGCTTTTTCTAGGATTAAATCTCTAAAAACTTGCTTACCTCTTAGCTCCACAAGGGTAAGAGTCCATCCTCCAAAATGGACTGGACATGGCCAAGCTTACTTTAACTTGTGACTTTTGTCGTTACTTCTACCAGGGTGTACCAGAGGGCTTTCACTTACTGTCACTGGACGTCACGAAACAAACTCAGAAGTGCAATTTTCTTTCTTAAAAGGAACTGTCCCCAATATCTATTATTACAGCCAAGCCAAGAACTATTCCAAGGCCACTGACATGCTCACTGGAACCAAAGCCTGGTTTTCCTGGTCCTCAGTACACAGACAGAGACACAGGGGCAGAAGGGCAGAGCAGAATGGAGTTACCTATGACTAAGTCCCTTCCATCGACCAGGCCGGCAGAAATGAGTTCCTGAGAGACACCCTCCGCTGTATCTGCAACGACAAAGAAAAAGGTGCTCCATTTCTTGTGCATGCACGTCGCTGCTAACTCTTAGAGCAGGTGTGGGCACTGCCAGACATTTGCTGCTAAATCTACAGAACCAAGAAAGCAGGTGGGGATCAATATAAAGGTAGCTCTTTAAGTAATGGTGTCATTTCGATGGGTTTCGGGCCCTTCTTGGGAGAGCCCCTGACAATGATGCTGTAGAGGAAGCTCCTATTATGAGGGCAACCCTGCACCCGAGTCCCATGAGCTCTGAGACATGATGATGAGCATGTGACATCTCCAGGGCTAATAAAAGAGTGATGTTTTCCCCCCTCAATTAAATCATGAAAAAGTAAGAGTAATCTCTGGTTTTGGGGGATCACACTCTTAAGTTTTTTGCTAAGATCATTTTTGTATTATGATGGGCTTTTATTCATATCTAGTTATTTTGGGTGGTGTAATACAAACAACGGGTACAATGAAAATCTTTTAAAAAGATAACGACAGAGTATCCCCAATTACCCTCACCTCCAACTGACTCGGTGCTGCTCTCTCCCAAGAGCTGAGCGCTGAGCCCCTGAGGGCACGGGAGGACCTTGGGAAGGAGTGCGCTCACACTTGTCAAAGACCAGGGACTTGAATTAGTTAATGGACATGTGATTCTGCCTGGTTTTTAAAAAGTAAAGCGAATACACCTCTGTTCATCTGCATCTATTCTCTTTAATAATTAGTTGCTGATGATACTAAGATAGCAAGAAGATTAAGCGTGACACAAAGGACAGGTGTCTGTTGCTGCTGGCCACTCCCCAAACCTGAACCCTGAGTACAAAGGCAATAAGCCTTGTTCCAGGGAGAAATTCATGGCCAGACACTACCTGTGACAGGCTCAGTTTCAGGCTCAGTTTCAGCCTCAGCAGAGAGGAGAATGGACACTGTGTTTCTTCTTTATTGTCATGAAAGAACTTTGCACTCTGACAGGTTTGGGTTTGAATTCCAGCTACATCTCCTCCCAGCTGTGTGAACTGCAACAATTTACTTCACTTCTTGATTTCATCATCCAAACAATATGGATAAAAGTATGTAGGGGGCTGTTTTGAGAACTGAATGAGATAATGCACATTATCAGAGCATACGCCTGGCCTACAGTAAGCAGTAAATTCAGAGCTGTATTAATCACTGGTTTTTATCACACAGCTGACCCCTGAACGACGCAACTGCGATGAGGGGACGCTGACGCCTGCGCAGCGCAAGATCCGTGTGCCCGTGGGCTGCCCCCACACTGAACTCCTGACAGCCTACTGTTGTCTGGAAGCCTTCACAGTAACATAAACAATCAATTAATACATATTATGTATGTTACATGTATTGTATGTTATGGTCAAACAATCAAGTAGAGAAAAGAAAGTGTTACTAAGAAAATCATAAGGAAGACAGAATACATTTATGGTACTGATTGAAAAAATCTGTATATAAGCGGCTCCATGCAGTTCAAAACAGTGCTTTTTGAGGTCAACTGTACTAGGTTTTCCAAATAAGACAGCAGTAAATAAATTGCATTTAAATTTTATTCATATGCCCCCAAATCCCTTTAAATAAGGAACATTTCATCATCCTTTAACACAGCAAAATACATTTCAAGGACAAAAACTTCCCAGATTTCACTAAAGAAATCAGAGGTTATTTTGTTTCCAGTGTTTTTGATAACTCACCTCTCCCAGGAGTAAATTCAAATCGAATGTCATTTAGTTCTTTTTTGGAATTCCTATGAAAGAAAAACAGACTGTGTAAAATCAATTTTTGAATTTATGTATACAGACTCTGCCAACATTCGTTAGGAAATCTGTGCCTCCAGAAAAGCGTTCTCTACTTGTAGGGCATTACACCTGGTCCTTATGGGATGGGAAAAACGTCAGACGTGGTTTTTAGATAGGACTGAATGGGTAGGTAGGATTTGGGGCAGCCTGAGAACATGGGAAAACAACTGGGCCGATAGAGGCAGCAGAGTTAATACATAAATCCACAGATTCTAACAAGTGACGCTTGAGGAAACGTTAAAGCAATCATTACACACACCGTGGACTGAGATGAACCAGGCTCCCTGGAAGCTCCAGTTGAAGGTGGAGAAATCAGAACATTATGTCTAAAGGCAGACATGTCTGATCACTTAGGACCCAAATTTTATCTCAGCAACCCAGAGGGCTTGGGTCTATTTGACAAATACTTGAGAATGTTACTGAAATTTTGCTTGAAATACAGCTACCCATCTCCAACACAACTTGCCCCCAAGTGACTCTGTCCCTTGCACAGCCTTCTCTGTGCATCTGTACCCAGACTTTTAAACTTCTGCATGTATATTACCTGAAATTTGTTTTTAGCTATGCTAGCACATAATTCAATTCAACTTCCAACTGAGACTTGATTATCAAGTGAGGCATTTCTCTTTCTCTTCTTCCGGTATCCCGCAACAGCTAAGAGCACTATATGTAGCCTGCTGACTACATAACTCTCCCGTCTATTCTTTCTGAAAGCTGATTAAAATTAAGATCAAACGTTCAGCATCACTTTAGTGATTTAACTGACATGCCCAAACACATACACCTTTAAACACAATAATATGCTAACTGGTCTAATTCTCCTCTGGTCATTTAACTTCCCAGTCTTCATCAGCAAGAATAAGAATCTAGTCTCCCCCTCCATATACAGGACTGCATCGTAGTCCATTAAGAAGCCACCATCTCAAAAAGCTAACTACCTCTCTTACAAGTATTTCTCCACCTTCCTGAAGCACATGTCAAACAGAACTTTTATACTGTCTACTGACTGCTATAAGGTATCAAAACAAATTTTCAAAAAGAGACAAGGGGTACTCTTTATGTACAATTAAAACAGGATAAGAGCACTAAGACATTCTATTAATTCAGAACTATTTGAAAGGAGAAAAGGTATACTGAGTAGGCTTCTGTAAAGGAAAGGTAACCGAATCTGCTTTCTTCCCCCTTTTGGCATAATTGCATTGCTCTTAGTGGTAAAATCAAAACATTCTCAAAATAGCTCTTGCTACCTCTATCTCTAATTATGGTCTTATTGAGAAGAAGACTAGCATTCATAAGTGCAAGGAGGAATGAGTCAGTGTCACTTAGTGACACTTTTTAAAAAATGTTAGTAATAGTTAAAGAAGGCCTGAGCCATCTCAGGCAGTGCTTTTAAAACCAATCGTTTTTCCAGTGCATATGAGTAGAAAGAGACCTACAGCAATACAACACCCATAGCTATTTTAGTAAGAACGCTCTGGAATCCTAATGCAATGCTTGCAGAGGGAGGGAGGGTTAAAATGAACAGATCACCACTACGGCACTTTCCTGGGAGCAGCCTGTCACGGCCTCGCCAAGAAACATCAATTTAGAGCACATGCTGGAACACAGAGAAACAGACCAAAAATATGCTTGAGGCTCTCCCATTCCTTTTTAAGAATCAGGCCTCTATTTGATCTGTCACAATGAGGAAACACTCCGCTCTTGGGACAGTTCTCTCAGGGTCCATGACATTCATGTGGCCACGATTACGAAACTCACTTCAGAGGAGCCACCTTAACGCTGCTCTCCTAAAAACTGTTCCTCAGGTAGAGGCCGCATTCCTTAGGCTAAACTACCTAGACTGCGAATGCACACATTTGTCACTGGTAGTGGAGAAACCACCAAGAGAACGCAGCAGTGGATGAGCTACCGTCAGGCCCTCACACCGTTCCTGCTGGTCCTGTGGGAAGCAACGCGCCTGCACGCAAGCAGCACTTGACGCCAGGAAGAGACGCAATCCCGTCCGGTCGCGCTCAGGCACAGGCTATTGGGACAACGAGTAACTTCTGAACAGCGTATTCAGAGTATTCAGAAAACAAAACAAACAAAAAGGTCTGCTTACCTTAATCTTAGTACTAGACTGATAGGGATCCTGGTTTCTTGTGAATCTGCTCCTGAAGACAGAGCCTAAAAAGCATTGAAAGGGAGAAAGTCACTGCCTGGACTATTAAGCGTGGAGGCGACCAGCGGTCATCTGCAGAGGAACTGTCCGCTTGGCAGCGATGTGCTTCATCTCCCGGTGAGGCCATCCTTGTCCCTAGGACATTCCCTGCTGTGGGAGGACATGAACTCCAAGGCAGCAACAAGAGCTGAATGTCAGCCTGAGTCAAACACAATTAGAAAGAGAATTCTCAAACCTACATGAAAGTCCATATGTAGCCACATATAAATTTTGTATTTTTTTTCAGATCCCTGTTTCTCTCTGCAAGGTGAAAAACACAAAGCTGGGCTTTTCCCTTTAAAAAAAAATCTGCCAGTGTATCATGTGGCAACACACAGGGAGGGTCTAAACTGGCTGCCCCTCCAAAAGCCACCCAGGCTGGAGGTTCCTGGTCTTTGGATGGCTGAACTAATCGTTTCTGAACCCTGGCAGCCATCTCCTGTCTACTGGATGGTACAGATCCTACGCTGAGTTGTTTATAAAATGACTCCGCTCTTTGCATCGGTTTCCGTAAGACGGCCGCGCCTTTTCCCATACGATGGGCAGAAAGGGAAAGCCTGGGTGAGGCACTGGTTACCGGACGTCAGTACCAGGGTGAACTGGAAGCACTCAAAGGCAGACCGCCACTGGAGTGTCAGAGAAAAAACCCAAAACTTCCAGCTTGATTTCTTTCCATTTAAAATGTTAGAAAAAAATGAAACCTCTAACATTTAGTAAGTGAATCGATTCTGAAACCCTTTCTCTAACCATGGAGCATAACGTCCCGTGTTACACAGAGCACCTGAAGTTGCCTGAGGAAGAAACGGCAGCTACCCAGCCGGGGGTCACAGTGGGGCCCTCGCTCCCTAGGCTGCGTGCGCCTGATTAGGTGGACCTACAGACTACATTACCTCATTTTAATAGAACCAACCTTTACAAAATTGATAAATATCTTAAAAAGGGTAATACAGGAAAATCATGGATTGGAGATAGTATTAATAAATAACACAAATAAAAGTGAATGACAAGAGAACAGCTGACAGTTTTCCTAGTGTCAAGATAACTCTGTCAGCTGCATTTTGCAGTTAAACATAACAAGGATCTAATAAAAAGCAAACAAATTAACTCCCAAATTTTTGATGTTTGGAATGTTTCCACGGTTAACGTTTTTTTTGCATAAGAAGCTATGTGATCCTTGTAAAATTCTCTTACCTGCATACATTTAAAACTGTGAAAAAAGAATTCTAACTTGTTTCAAAATCTACCAAGATACTGACCTCCTTACATTAGGCTGTGCTCTACATTACTCTCTGCTTTCTCCGCCTTCCCAGGAGGCTAACCATGAATGCATCCCCCTGCTTTACCTGGGCTGTTTTTGCTGGCTCAGCGGGGAGTGGGAGTGAGACTTGAGTTGGCTGTGCAGGGGTCTGCCCAGCTGGCTGAGGTAGATGAGCCGAAATCTGTTCTGGAACTTGAAGTAAAGTACCCACGGGATCAGTTGTTGGAAACAGCTGAAACAAAAGCACATATAATGCATGTCCTTGAATAAAGTTTCAATCAATGTCACTGAACTATGCATTCTTTTGTGTCTGGCTTCTTTCACTTAGGATAGTGTTTTTGAGGTTCGGTGATGCTGCAACTTACAATAGTTCACATTTTTTTCTTCTTCAGAATAGCAGTTAATTGCATCATATTTATTTATTTATTTTTAAGATTTTATTTATTTTTAGAGAGAGGGGAAAGGAGGGAGAAAGTGAGGGAGAGAAACATGGATGTGAGAGAGAAGATTCAATCAGTTGCTTCTTGTATATGACCCAAAGAGGGACTGAACCCCCAACCCAGGCATGCACCCTGACTGGGAATCAAACCAGAGACCTTACACTTTGTGGAATGATGCCCAACCAACTAAGCCACACTGGTCAGGGCTCATGATTATTTTTAACTACCTCTATTCTGTCCCCTTTGCCTAGAAAAACAGTACATCCAAAATACAGATTTAGATATACAATACAAACTTACAGAAGTTACATTTTTCTATGTCTAGGGACTTTGTTACTTATAAAGAAAGATAATCAACCAATAATTCCTTAACATATCTGAAATGCTTTTAAACTGGATGTGAAACTTTATAACTAACATAGACATTATTATATTATTTTGCATGTTTGAAATATTTCATACACTTTAATTATGTAACTTGGAGAAGAAAGTTAGTGAAAAGAAATCAATGCAATGGTCAAAATTTAGAGTTAAGAGAGAAAAAAATTAGAAGGGCAATAAGAGAGGTCTAAGAGCTCATAATAATATATAAACAAAATCATGGAGACAAGGAAGTAAAATTTTGTGTTCATTTTGCTTCATATAGAGGAAATCAAGTGTTACTCATTAGTTCTGGATTTTGATAGAAAAACAGAACTTTACAATCGGTTTTCAAAATGTTAATATAATTATTAACACTATTTCAAAATAAGGTGTATACTTACTTATATGTTTACCAATAATAAAGACAAAAAAGTTATACAAAGTAATGAGAGGATGTGGAGAAATCAGAACCTCATGCATTGCAGATAGGAATGTAAAACAGTGCAGCCAGTAGGGAAAACAGCACATTGGTTCTTCAAAAAATTAAAAATAGAATAGCCATATGACCCAGCAATTCCCTTCTGGGTACAGACCCAAAAGAACTGAAAGCTCGGACTCAAACAGGTGTTTGTGCAGCCGTGTGCACAGCAGCTTTGTTAACAGCGGCCACAAGATGGAGGCCCTCCAGGGGTCCACTAACAGACGAATGGATAAACAATGTGGCATGTACATACAATGAAGTATTGTTCAGTCTAAAAAGGAAGCCAGGAAATTCTGACACATGTTGCATATATGAACATCGAGAGCACTATGCTGAGTAAAATAAGCCAGTCACAAGAAGACAGATTCTGTATGATCCCACTGTATGGGGTACACAGAGAGGTCAAACTCAGAGACAGCAGAGCACTATAACCAGGAGCTGGGGGGGAGCGGGGATGAGGAGCGACTGGGGGCAGTTTCGGTTCTGCAAGATGAAAAGAACTCCGGAGACAGACGCTGGTGAGGGCTGCATGACAGTGGGAATGTACTGAATGCCGCTGAACTGCACATTTAAAAATGGTTAAGATGGTATATTCCACCATAATTTCAAACAACAACAACAAAGTAACGATCATGAGAATGTAAGTATGAGCATGGAAGAAGCTATTTAGGCAAAGGAACAAGAACAGACTAAAAAGAAAAACTCTGGATAATCCCTAAAATACCCCCTCATTCAATTTCAGAGAAACTAAAAACTCATCAAGGTAGGTTAAGTTAGAGAAATAACAAATAATCTTAAATTCTCAGTAATTACAAGAACAAAAGTTACTTCTTGCACACATTTCCCGTCTCCCTCTCTCTGGAAGAGGTTAAATTAGGTGTCACCTTCATTCAGGGACACAGGTTAAGGCAACAGAGGCCAGGGAACCCAGGGAAAGGGGGAGTGGCTCTTCCTGCTCACATTTCATTGGCCAAAGTAACCGCCACGGCCATGCAGAACCTCAAGGGGCAAGGAATGCAATTCTATCATGTACAAGAAGAGGAGCCAGAAGTCTTAAGGAGTAGTAGTTCTAGTATCAACTGTAATGTGGCCCATTAATAGGCTGAAGTACAGCATTTTCAGCCTTAAACAATATAATACTATGTACGCAAATCATGTACCCAAATTGTATACTATACACACAAATAAAACAAAACAAATAGTTACTTTTAAGTATAGGGACAGAACAAATTGGTTTAAGAACAAGACATGTGTGCCCTCAATCCAAATACTGAGCTCAGAATGCAGATACTGCCAGATGGACAAATGTATGACAGAATGCACTCAAGAAATTATTATTCCCTTCACGTAACGAACACAATGCAGGCCAGATTAAAAGGAGTCTGTTTAGTAGGATTTTCTATTACACTGAGGCAGTAACTACAGACAAATGAATCTATTTAACAAGAGACGAGGCTTCTAAAAAGTAACGGTGGCATATGACAAATTCCTGGACAGATTAATGCAAAAATACTACTTTTCCCTTTAAGCAGCCAAAGCCAGACAAGTAAATCGTAAAGTGAAGCAAGCAAGGAAGAACATTCTGGGCCTTTAGGCCAACTTTTGAAATAAGTGCAATGGCACCAATTTACTGCAAAGTTCCATTCAAACTCATAATCACCATCTCTGATAAAATTCAACTCATGTAAATTCTCATTCCTATTTGGGCACATACAAAACATGTGCTTAACATTAAAGCCAAAGCCAAACAAAAGCGCATATACTTTAGCAATTCAATAGCCACAGCCACTTACCTCAGAACTTGATAATTCTTTCACTCGGGGAGACTAAAAGAAATACAAAAACAGAAGGCTTGTTAACGCAAAACTCAGGTTACTTGCAGTCTGTTCCACACTGCACGGAATGTGGAAATGCAAGTCAAGTCCATCATTCTGATCCACACATTAACTCACCGGCAACTCTAGTGAAAGTTTTCTGAAAAAAGAAAACTATCGTGAGACTATTGCATTATTTGTCCAGGTGGCCTGTACTTACACTATTTGAAGACATCACAACCTGAGGTTTATAAGCAAACGTAATGAGATTGAATTCTTAGATAATAATTCGTCAAAGTACAACTCTTCCTAATTATGAAAATATTATGTGCATAACATCCCAGACCAAATGTCAACCTTCAAGCTAATTATGTAATACATTCTCAACACAGAGTAATTTTGATTATGGGTTTTTTATTAAAAAAAAAAAAAAGGATTTCATTTACTTATTTTTAATAAGAGGGAGAAGAAGCGGGGAGGGAAACACTGATGGGTTGCCTCTCCCACGCACCCCAACCGGGGACCAAACACAACCGAGGCATGTGCTCTGCCCAGTAATTGAACAGGCGACCTTCTGCTTTGCAGGACAATGTCCAACCGGGTCACACGGGCAGGGGCTGATGATTGGCTTTAATGGAGAAAACTCTTGAACCAAAACTGAAAAACCAAGTATAATCTTCCATATGAAAATCTAAGCTAAATTTATTTAATAAATCAAAAATGTTAGTAGTAATTCTGGATCTACTGGAGAATAATCTCTAAAGAAAAAAAAATTATGGTTTTTTTTTTTTACTGACTATGGATTTAGACTACTTAAAAGATCAGCCTAGGTTTGTTTTAAAATTTTCACCACAATTTTATTAAGGAGAATCAAGGGTTAGGTAATAGCTAATGTATCACAGCAAATAAACGGGCAACGCAAACCTTTCTTTTTGACTTTATATTTAGAAAAATTTTTAAACCTACATAAAGAACAATACAAAGAACACCAGTATACTCTTTACCCAGAGTGACTCATTAATTGCCTTTATTCTTCATCTGTTTTATTTTTTTCAAGGTTCATTTTCTGTCTTTTAAAATATATACATATATAATATATATCATATATTTACTATAACATACATATTTATAAATACATAATATAAAACACATATATAATTGTATTGTTCTTGTACACTGCCTATGTCATAGCTGTCTACCACTGAATGGTCACCGTGCATTTCTTACAAGGGATATTCTCTTACAAAGCAGTACTAAAATAATCAACTTCAGTAAATATAACAGTAATACTTTTTACCTTACTTATCGTCCATAATCTAACATATAGCCCTTTGTTTTTCTTCCAGCAGAGTGTGTACTCTTAGGATCATGTATTGCAATTAGCTGTCATGTCTCTTTAGAGTTGTCTTTATCTGGCACATAAATACTATTTAAGAGCATCCCCTTCCCTTACACACTTTATTTGAATAGAATGTTTCTGATCTGTGGGTTGTCTGATGGTTTCCTCTTCATTTAGACTGTTATATGAATTCCCAGCTGAATTCTACACAGAGATATGTCCTTCCTAGGCTGTCATATCCTAGGGAATCACGTCTGCCCCTCATTGGTGATGTTAATTTTAATCATCTACTTAGGGCATTTTCTGATTCCTCCAGTATGCAGTAACTATTTTGTCCTTTGCAACTAAAAGCTGCACCACAGAGAGACACTCTAAAACCATGTAAATATACTGCTCATCAAGACTTTCCCCTATATTTAGCATCGGCTGACCATCCTTGCCTTATCTAATATTTATGATTGCTTTATGATGGATGTAAAATGATAATTTTCCCTCTTCAGCACTCCTCAACATTTACCAGTCAGTACAGGCAGTTTATTATAACGAAAAGCTATCCTTTTCTCCCATTAAAGCTTCCTAATTTAAGAAATAGGAACCTACGAGAAAGGTTCCTATTTATAATTTATTACTGCACTCAATGATTTTGATTGTTAAATTCTTGCTAATTTGGCCACTGGGAACTCTGTCAACTGGGCTCTTGTTTTATTATAACTTCTTGTTTTAATAAAAAAATATTTTCTTTCTGACAACAAAGGTATTCCAGATTCATCTTGTGTATCTTCTGTGTTAAGCCCTGGAATCAGCCACTTCTCCATGAAGCTTTCGTTCTTAAAAGCAGACAGCAATACCACTACCCACCACTCACACCACAGAAGGTTCTGAGCAGACAAGGCGGCTATACTGACCTTAAACATTAGTATCTCCTAAACACACCGGAAACTCCAATAACATGTATATTAAGCTGTTTAATGTTTGTATTAGCTCACTGATTCTCTTTTCATTTTTAAAAAATTCTTTTTTTTCAGTTTCACTTTACAGTTTCTATTGCTAGCTTTCAAGTTCATTAATCTTTTCTTCTACAGTGTCTAATTTGCTACTAATTCCATCCAATTTATTTTCCATCTCAGACATTGTAATATTCTATAAATCTGATTTTGTGTGTGTTTGTTTTCTATTTTTAGGATTGAGTCCTAACAATCAATTGAGGCATTGACCTTAGGCAAGAGTGAAGAAACAATTGAAAATAAGACCCCTGTCTTCATTGCTTCTAACAAAAACTAACACATACATCGTCATCATCCAGGATATACCAATTAAAGAGTATACTATTACACTTCAGGTAGAAGGTTAGCAGACCTCAGAAACAAAGTTCTATTAATCTTAGTCTTTCAACTTCACTAATCTTTTCTTTGCAATACATAAGCAGGCATTAAATCTACCCAATGTATTATCTCTAACACTGTAGTTTTCATCTCTAGATTGGATGATTTGTCTATGCCCTAGATACTATCATATCCAAATAGATCTGCCAGCCCACTTTTCCACGTAGAATTAATTGGACTCCTGATGTTGGTAAGTTGGTCAAGGAAATTCTGTCACTAACACTTGTATTTTTAATATATTAACTGGGTAGTCTTACCAGAAATCACAGAATACAGTATTATCTCAGAGGCTTCAGACAAAAGGACAGCTCTAGCTAAAGCATGTAATTTCACAAAACTTACCCTGAGTTGTGAAATTGCTGCTTTCCCTTCCTCACTTTCTTCATCAAACTCATCATCACTCCACTCCCAGCCACCGTCTTCTGTCTTATGAAGGCGGCCACTGGAACCTGGTACTCTTCGAACCTGTCATTGGAAGAGAGTTGTAAATTATCATAATGTTGACATTTACTATACAGAAAAGTCAATTACATTTTCCTCTCTTCTACTACTTCAACACAGTAAGCAGATACTAATTTTCCTTGGAAGTATCTTCCACACCTCCCCGGTTCTGTTTACAATCTCCAATCTTTCCTTACTCACAACCACTGACTTTCTCTCCACTTCTATATGCTGAACTTGAGCACTACCCAAGTATTCCTTATGTGAAGTCACAGGTCAAATTAATTTTCTCTTTATCTTTTTAATTTTTAAAATTACAATTATACATGTCCAGTTTTAAGAGTACTACAGCTGTGAAAGTTTTGTCAAGAAAAACAATAATCTCTTGCCTTTCATTCTTTTCACCACAAGCAACCATTTTCAACTCATTTTATCTTATTGTTTTGGAATTTATATTCAGCTCTCTACGTAACATGGTCTCATTATTACCCCTTGAGTTTTTTGGTTTTAGGAATTACCTATTGAACTTGCCACTTGGGAAAATGAGAATTTAACCCTATTAACAATCCTCTACTCTTTTTCTGAAGATACATTGTAATTGTGGTTAAATCAATATTCAGTATTTACATAACCTGATTACAAGTACATAACTGAAACAGCTGAGCCTTATTGTACACTATAGTTACCTTCCTTTCCTACATAACATTTTTGTTTCCCTGGAGTCAATATTTACCCCTCAGTTCTCTCCCAGCCATGTAAACCTTCTCTCAGCACATTAATATGCATTAGGTATCCAGCATCAGTAACATCATCTTGAGGAAGCCTCCCACCAGAGCCTGTTGATCTGCTCCACCCTGGAACGGTTTCACACCAGGTCTGCTACTTCAGATCTCACGCCCCCATTACTCAGAGGACCATGCTTCCTGGATCATGTAACTTCTCTGTTCTCAGTGTAAGCACTTCTTCCACTATTAGCACGGCTCACTTACTCAAGACAGGCATTTCTGAGCATATCTTTACTCCATCTCTACATTTGACTTCTAGTTTGTCTGGTAAAAAAAGGCCTGGGTTAGAAATCCTTTTCTTTGCTAATGGTGAACACAATTGCTCCATTGTGATCCGGTTTCCAGAGGTGCTGCTGAGGTCATTCTGACTTGTGATCCTGTCTGAGCTCCGTTCCTCCTCCTGTTATCTTCTTGCCTACAGAACTCTGAGTTATCTCGATAGTGCGCTTTTGTGTTACTCTACTTTCATTCATTGTGCTGGGTACTTAGGCTCTTTCAAGCTGGAAATTCATGGCCATTAGTTTTAAATTTTTTTCCAGACAGCATTTCTTCTTTGATGATTTCCTTTCTCTTGGGTATTTTTTTTGTTTTTGTTTTTTGGTTCTCCTTTTCTGGAATTCTTTTTATTCATCTGTTGAACCTTTTCAAATGATCCTCTAATATTCTTGTCTTTTCTCTCCTGTTATCTATTGCTTGGCCTCTTGGCTCTGTTTTCTGAGAAATTTCCTTAACTGGACTCTATAGCCTTTGCATTGAATTTTTTCATTTCTTCTATGATGTTTCAGTTTCCACAGGCTTTTTTTCAGTGGTGCTGCCATCCTCTAAATGCTTTTGAAAAACTAACAGCTTTATTGAGATATAATTCATGTAGCATATAATTAACCCATTTAAAGTATATAATTCAATGATTTTTAATTTATTAGGAGTTGTGAAACCATTTGTACAATCAAGTTTAGATTATTTTTTTCACTCCCTCCCTATCCCCCACCTCCCGCAAAATATCCATACCCATTAACAGTAACTAACTACTCATTTATCTACGATCCTTCCAGGCCTTGGCAACCACTAATCTATTTTGTCTCTATACATCTGCCTAGTCTGAGCATTTCATGTAAATGGAATCATACAACCTGTTGTCTTTTGTAACTGGCTTCTTTCAATTAGCACACTGTTTTAAAGGCTCATACTTGTTACAGCATGCACCAGTACTCCATTCCTTTTTATTGCCAAATAATATTCCATTATATAGATACAGGACTTCTTACATATCCACTCATCAGCAGATGGACATCAGGCAGTTTACACTTTTTTGTTATTACGAATAATGCTGCTATGAACATACATGTACATGTTTTTGTGGGTCCATGTATTCAATTCTCTTAGATATGCCTAGAAGTGGAACTGCTGGGTCATACGGCAACTCTATTTAATCTTCTGAGGAACTGCCAAACTACCTTCTGAAGTGGCTGCACCATTTTACATTTATTTCCATTAATGTGTGAGGGTTCCAATTTCTCCACATCTTTATAAAAACTTGGTATCATCCATCTTTTTTAGTATAGTCATTCTAATAGGTGTGAAGTGGTACCTTCAATACTTCTGTATAGTGTGACAAAAGGGCCCAACTTCACAACTCACTCTGGTAGCTGCAAATAGTGACTTAACACAGTTCATTATTAATTCATCAATTGCTTAACATACCTTTTCCTTCTAGTAGACAGCGAAGTAATACCTAGGCATTCAGTAGACCAATGAATATTTGATAAATGAATGTACTGAAGAACGTAAAAGGGCTGAAAGAAACTGAGTAATACTCACACTGTTAACAAGGTATTGCTTAACATATACATTCTAAATGCAAAAGTAAGTCTAAGCAATTTCACAGGAAAATGGAGTTAAATGCCCATTTACCTTTTTAGCTCTTTCAAAAATGGTTGGTGCTTTCTGCAATATTTTTTCTTGAAGAAATTCTTTATTCTGGAGAGGAAAAAGAAGTATTTTCTTCTTACAAGAAGTTTTTATTGAACCAAAAAATTGACAAAGAAATGTTCACCAAAATTAAAATGTGACAAAGTAAATAAATGCTTCAAAAAGAAGTTTGAGAAAAGGTTCCATTCTTTTACTCTGAAGCTCCTTTAGGACATTACTACCCTGGGTTTATAAACCAAGACAGAGCTTTAGGGTGCTGTTATGAACCATTTCTATGAAAAGTTTGTTTTTTACTATATGTCCTTTGGGATCATGGTCCCATTCTTCCAACTACAATAACATCTCACTTATCTGTTATCTTTGGGAACTGAGATGTTTACTAATTTACCTGAAATGAGAACTCAGTATTTTTCACAGATTATTTTATAATGGCAAAATTTAATATTCATTGTTCTAAGTTTACTCTATTGACATTTAAAAATAAATTTATATATTCGAAAGCATGTATCTTAATTACCAAAGACTGTATAGATCATGTAACGATTTGCTCTTTTATCATTCTTCTAAATATGATCATCTGAAGATAATGTAATTTCTGAGCAGTAAACCTAATTTAGATAACTGAAGAAAATCAAATGAATACATAAAATCAAAAGCTAGAATTTCTACCCTGGTTGAGATGGCTCAGTGGATTGAGTACTGGCCTGTGAACCAAAAGGTCACCAGTTCAATTCCTGGTCAGGGCACGTGCCTGCGTTTTGGAGTTGGAAGCATGCAAGAGGCAACCCATAGATATTTCTTTCCCTTTCTTTCTCCCTCTCCCTCTCTCTAAAAAATAAATAAATAAAATGTTAAAAGAAATTATAATTTCCTACCTTTGCTTTTTGGAAAAATTTGTGCCTCAACAATTCTGCTGCTGTTGGTCTAAAACCAGAAAAGAAAGTTTTTACAGTTAATTCAAGTGCAATGTCAGTTTTTAATCTTCAAAAATAAGAAAATGATTTCTTAAGCAGTAAGATAAAAACTCAGTGTACTTCACTTTCTTTAACCAGCTTTAAAAAAAGTAGGATAAATTTGGTACAAGATGTTAAGTAGAATAAAAACTCACATAGAAATGTTCTGATAATAATTATTGTAGGTCTTTGACAAAATCATTAGTGAAATGTTTCTTTTAGAAGCATGATTTCTTAGCAGCTTCCAATATATTTGCTGTTTAATATTATTTCCCAAGAAGTAGGCTGGACAAAGTTTACTTTAACAAGGTATAAAAATACATCTAACCTCACAGAGCCCTCTGTTTCTTGCCATGTGGCTCCCTGGTAGCCATCATCTTAGGTAACTACATAGTCTAAAAAACAGTTTTCGCCATTTCCCTTAACAAATTAAGGATTATAAATGTAATGGATATTCCCCAAATTTAATCTAAAGTCAACTGGAACTCAACTGTGCACAGTCTTACTTCCTTCATTTAAATAAAGGTATCATCAATTTTACAAAATTTTTAGTAAGTATGATTGAGAATAAAGAATAAGTAATACTATACATAAGAGATGGACCTGGCTAGGTAATAATTTCACTTTTTAATCCTCTGATCTCCTGCATGACATGGTCAGTATAAATTCAGACTGTACACCTGAAGAATACCCAGGTCAGGGGCTTCATTATTCAGGAGAGATTTTTGTTATGTCTTTGTGATAATGGACAGATTTTGGTTGTTTGTTTTCTGGTCTGTCCTTTCACTCAAGATGCAAATGCAGTTTAAAATCCCTGCTGGGCTTGCCCTTTACCCCATTTCCACTCCCTGTGTGGAAGTGGGAATGAACACTGGCCCACTGTGGACAGCCACAGGATTAGTTCATGATTTTTCTTCTCTAATTCATGGCTTCCTCATTATTTTTAACATCTGAGGACTTCCCTTTATTGCAAGCTCATTTCTGAATTTGTTTTTTTTTAAAGTTTGACAGATTTATCCAGAACTTCTGGGTATTTGTAACAAGAAAATTTCGTTATTTTAGTCAACTAAGTTGGCAGAAGAAAAGTATTCCCTATCCTTTATACCAGTTTATTCAGAAACAGAAAAAAAGCCCTAAAAACACAGTTTTGAACTTTGCTCTGTTTTTCTTACCCTTTCCAATATTTCCAACAATTCTGAAGACCCATTAAATATACTAAAGTCATTTAAAAGCATTTATTTTTGGTGATCATTACAGAATACAAAATTAAAGAACTCTTAGTGCTAAGAAACTGAGTGGAATTCATATGTGAGGCAGAGAAAGAAGACAGAGTGAGAACAGAGTCCAAGAACCAGGAGTTTTAGATTCAAGTCCCACCTCTATGACTAGGTACCTGATTGACCTCAAAGACAAAAGGTTGTACTCAAGGGTCTTCAAGATTCTGATTCTGTTTAATTCATAAATATATACACATTAGATGATGACGTTCATTTATTTGCTTGTCATCCAATATGTCTAGTGTTAACAAGATAAGCTCTTTGAAGTTTTGGTCCACTTACTAAAGTATCTTTCCAATAAGAATAATATTATTTGACATATGTTTACTATGTGTATTTCTTTTCTTATTAAAATTATAAACAGAATTAAGATATTTGTTTATCTCTTAAATGCAAATTAAAAACAACCTCTCCTACTAACTTGATATTTTATTAATAGGGAATTCACAACATACAAATATATAATTGTAAGAAATTACCAGGAAATAGTGGAACTGTTTAGGGTACACTGTATACTAAAAAGAGGAAAGTAATTTATTCATTTCCAATCTAGGGTAATGGTCTCTGTACATTTTTTCATAGTTTATATTTCGTTTCTTTGAATATTCCCTGTGTACATATGTACATGACTCTAGTTACATATTAGGTGAAAAGTAAGCTTTTTTCTCTTATTTTACCTTTTTTCTGGATCCTTTTGAAGGCACAATGAAATCATTTTTCTAAATGATTTCCCATATTTTTTCAGCATTTCTTTATCTTGAACACCAGTTTCCAATGAAGGTGGATCATTCTGCAGTGTCAGCATCAAAACCTGTAAGATTTTCAATATAACAAAAACTTCTGAAGACTCAATTGAATACTGTGGCCAAGACTTTTTAATATAAACAATCCCCAACACACGAGCAGATTTTATTTTCTAAAAGTTCACATCTAGACCAGCTGTTCAGAACCCAGAGTTACCCACATTCACAATACCCTATCGAAGGTTGGCTTCCCAGATGACGCGCCTACTAGGGCTCAGCTGTATCCACGCTCTAAGTCCCTTGATTAGAATCCTTTCTTCAGGTCTTCTGTCCCTACTCCTCCACTACCAAACTGTCTTTAAAAAAATTAAAACTACAGCAAAATTCAGAGTGTAAACTTGTGGACTTTATATTCATGGCTCTGCTTCAATTCGACACCTTGTAATCTGGCCTTCTCTTCACAGAACTACTCAGAAACTTTTTTCATAGAAATAACTGATGATGTCCTAGTTAACAAAGCTAGAGCCTTTTTTAGTTCTCATTCTTCTCACCTTCCCCATAGCAACTGACAGTCTTGAATATTCTGTCCATCTCTTCCTTCTCTAACTTCCATGGCAACATACTAGCTTAATGCACAGATATGTATATAACGAAGGTCCTGTCTGTATGATAGGACTCCAGGTGATGTGTTTTTCTACACTGTTTGACGTTTTTATAAAAGCATCAGTCATTTTTCTAAACATAAAGTCAACAGTGAAAAATAAAAGGGGGTTACAATTAGAATTATTACTTGCTTTTCAGATTTTTATTTACTGAAACAAAATTACTAAGGTTTGTGATAGTTCTTATTTTGAGCAACTAGGTTAATATGTGTATGTCTGGCAATAATTGTAGGAGTCACTGCCTACAATGAATTAAAAGTAAACCTCATCCTCCCCCAACCAACGTCAATTTTAAAAATAAGCCATTTCTTTGGCTTTACTGTTATATAAAAAAACCCTTCTTAAAATCTCATGAATATCCACTTACTCCTAGGAGTCCTTAACCTTTAGGAAAATCATGGCCTTAAAATATCACTAACCTTTCACAGAATCAAAATTTCACCCATCAGGCATTTGGCGGGGCAGGCGGGGGGGCGGGCGGGGGGGTGGCACGCGTGCATGCGTGTGTGTGTGTGTGTGTAAAATATGGAGAGCTTAGAGGTTTTTCACAATATACTTTTCCTGGTTTAGTCCCTCTTCTACATTGTTAGAGCCTTAAAGGTCCTCAAGTGCGCCACAATCATAGAGATGTGAATAATGAATAATATAAATATGATGACAATTCACAATGGTGATGTGCCATTTTAAACAGTCACAGGGTATCAGAACTTCAGGGCAAGATGGAAGTGTAGGTAAACACAGCTTGCCTCCTCGCACAACCACAGCAAAATTACAGCTAAACTACAGAACAAATACCACTCAAAACTGTCAGAAAATCAAACTGTACGGAAGTCTGACAACTAAGGAATTAAGAAACCACATTCATCCAGACGGGTAAGAGGGGTGAAGGGGAATGATACAGAGACGTGGAACAAGCTGGTCCCAAACCCACATGTGGTGGATATAAAAAGAAGGGGTATCTTGGGAGCGAGGGATCCCAGCCCCACACCAGACCACCCAACCCAGAGTTCCAGTGCCAGGAAGGTAAGTTCCCACAACTCCTGGCTCTAAGAACCAGGGGGTTGGGTTGTCAGAAGAAACTGTGGGATTCTCTGGCATCTCCTCTTGGATGGCCCTGCACATGGACTTACTCAGACCCACTCCCTCTCGGCTCCAGTACCCAGGCAGCACCATGAAGAGCACCAGTGGCACACAAGGAGGAACTGAAGTGTCTGGCATCAGGGCAAGAGCTGGGGCACAGCACTGCAGACCATGGACGGCCACTGCTCCTTCTCTGAGCCCTTCCCCGCACACAGAGCCACAGTGCAGCAGCACCGTCTGGGAGTCCCCAACGACCCGGCTCCCAGGGTTAGCAGTGAGTGCCCTGACAGCTCCCCTAAGGCCCTGCCCCACCCAACTTTCTGGCCCACCCACGCTGGTAACAGTGGCTTTTCCCTACAAATGGCTGGGCTAGGGGCAGGCTTCAGACCTTCCTAAACCCGCTCAAACAAGAAAGACTGAGCCCAGCCCCCATACCTCTTGTTGAGTGGTCCCAGCAGCAGCCATGTACAGATCACTTTATAGCTTATGTCAAGGGGCCCCAGAAAGAACACAGGGGGTGGCTGACCTTGACCTGCGCCACACGGGAAACCCCAGAGCCTGTGCGCCCAGCAGACAGTTAATAGACCGCTTACTGGCAGCATCATGTTAAACACAAAAAACTCATCCTGTTACTAATGTGGAGACAGGATTAGCAACTATGCTTCAGGTAACTACTACATCAGGAAATAATAATAGGTCTTTTAAAAGTTGCTTAGTGCCCTACCACAAAGCAAGCTTTTATTTGAACTTTTATTAATAAAATGAGAATAATACACATGTATGGCACATGAAGGCTTTGCATGAATTACCTTATTTTAGACATGAAAAGCACTTAACAGTGCCTGGAAAAATGAATGCTCTATGAATGTTAGCTACAATACTATTAATACGTAACCCAACAACCCTATGAAGGAGAAACGATCATCATCCCCCTTAAGGCAGTTCATCCCAGTTAAAGGCGACTGTAAGGAACACACACTAAAATGAGAGACATCAGATCCTAACATCAACCTAGTCCGAGTCAGGAGGTGGAGAGTCATCATATAAAAAGGTCAACTACAATGGACAGTCATTCACTACTAAACATCAGGCACCTAATGCGGATTTTAACGGCTATAGGAGTTAGAAAGAAGGCAGGGCAGGATTCTATGAGGAAAAGTGTCAAAGAAAGAGTCATTTTTTAAAAAGCCTAGCTAGCTACATGCCAATAAACCAATTCGCTTTATTAAGTTATAGTTTTAAAGAATTTTTTTAAAGAAAGGTTTTGGAACAGAACCAACATAGGAGCTGGGGTAGTATTTTGAACACGGGCCTCACCTTCATTGGTGGATACTTATGGTAAGGAGCTGCCCCTGCGGCCAGCTCAATCGCTGTGATTCCGAAACTCCAGATGTCGGCTTTGAAATCATAACCTCTAACCTGTAAAGAACAGAGAGATGTATACGATTAACCACCTTAAAAGCACTTTTAAAAAGTAGTTTCCAATATGTGTCAAGAAACCTGAAAGTGTTCATAACCTTTAAACCAATAAAATAATCTAAAGTAGGCAAAAGCTAAATATACTTGAGAACAGGAAAGAAAAAAAAAGGCAAGAAAGAGCCACCGGAATGAACATTCACTAACGGGGAAATTGTTAAGTATGGTATATTCACTTCAAGAAATATATAGGTAACCTAAAGCAAGGTTAATGAATCCCATATGAAAATATGAAAAAACACCTGTGATAAAACATGAAGGAAAAAATACAGATTTTCTCATAAGTTTTAATACTATTATTACAAACAGGTATATAGTCTAAAAAAATAATAAAAAATCAGAACGAAATGTTAGGCAGTGTTAGGTGGTGAGTCATTTGTTTTCAAAATTTCTTATGGTACTGTTTTATCATCTTAATTTTCATAATGATGAAAGTTACAAAGGATATGAAAATTTTTAAAGTTGTTGGTGTGATTATATCACCAAATTCCTCTCCTCTTACACTGTCACCAGCACATTATATAACTATGTTTTAATTGTTTATCCTAAGCATTAAATATGGAGGAGAAATAGGTTTTGGGAACAAATGAGACCTAAATTAAAGTTCCATATTTTAGCTGTCTTGACATTTGGTAAAAAAATAGGACTTCTAATGACCTCAGCTCAAATTCCCCTCCCCTCTCTGCTCCTGTTCCCTAGCCCAACAACGCTGTATCCCTGAGTAGCAGGTTTCCACTCCTTGCCAGCCCTTGAAATTATTCAAACAAGCCAATCCCATCTTCCCAAAGAAACCAAGGGGCATCTTACTCTCTTGCTACTATAAAGCCTGTCTCCCACAGTAACTGTTTGTTCACTATCTTCCTGAAATCAGACCTGTGTGGCATGCAGTGTCCTCCTCCCCCCAGCTATGTGGATGGACATGCAATTAATAAACTGCCGCCAATCGCATCGGTCTAGTGCCAGGTACTGGGTGCCCAACCATTCACAGAACCCGAGGGCGGGAGTCCTCCCTTCACCAACGGGGGGTTACAGGCATTATAACAGAGTGAAAAGCAAATTCAGCTCTACATACTCAGTTTGATTTACCAATAAGGCATTTCTGTAAAACACGTCATACAGGGAGTTAGAAACATCTACCAAGAGGCTTAGGAAGCAAGGCTGGACTGGATATAATTTATAATTAGTAAGTGGGAAACAAAGAGAACATCCAGTGATTATGTCCAAGAAGAGCTGAATTTAAGAACAAGGTCCTGAGGAGCAGTGTCACTTAGCAGTGGAAGGAGGGCCAAAAAGAGGTTAGAGAACTGGTCTGACAGACAAAAAAAATTAGAAAACAACACTGGCGAAGCTAAGGAAGTGAAAGGTGGGAATGGCCCATAGTGTCAAGCGCCACAAAAAGAACGAGACAAGGAACAAGAAATGAGAACAGGTTTTGAGATGCAGCAGTTTCCATAGGTGATGGGATGAGGGGCATCAGGCTGCAGCTGTTTGAGAGCAAATGGAAACAAGGGCAGGCAGAAAACTAGTCCCTCAAGAACCAAGCACTAAAACTACACATAGAAGGATTAGGTCATTTAATTTCTACTAAGGGAAATATTACTAAACCAATCTTCTTTATATTGTTCCTTAGGTTGTCTCTGGTATGCATACATGTAAATTCTGAGTTTCATATGCCCTTTGTAAAGTTCCAGTTTTTTTTTAAAGGGAGGATGAAAGTCTTAACCAAGGAACAGAGAAGTGTATTTCCCAAAGCTAACCTAATGTACCAGACAAAAGCCAACACCGCTCAGTGTTTTTCAATTCCGTAATAAAACCCTAAACCATTTAAAAAAGACGCAGTACCTGTTCCATAACTTCAGGTGCCATCCAGCAAGGGGTTCCAACAAAGGTCTTTCTCACTTTATTTCGGGTAATATCACCACCAGTTGCTAAAAAAGCGCTGACACCAAAGTCTGAAACAGAATACAATAGCAAGGTATTAAAAGTACAGTAAGAAACAGAAATGAATAAGAAAATATAATGTAGTTATACTGCTATATACAAACAGCATGGCCTCTTATTTCTGAACTTTCGTGTGTGTTGTGTGTGTGCACACGTGCGCACACAAGAGAACAAAGCAAGTTTTATTCAGGTAGAGAAAAAGGAGGAGGCCAAGGCGCGGGTGCTGCTGGGCAAGGAGAAAAAAGTACGTGTCTGAGTGGACCCCGGCCAACTCAAGAGTGAGCTGCACCTCTGCTTACCTTCTTGACCAAAATAAAACACAGCTTAACAAGTCAGGCCCTATAGCCATTCCTCTCCACCCCAACACATCATCATAATCTCAGATTTTCTTCCTTGTTCCACTCCATTCTTTCCCCCTTTCCCAACTGAAACTCTAGACCCATTAAACGATATTTCCACACTGCCCTCTTCCCCTCAGCCCCGGCAACCGGCGTTCTACTTTGTCCCTATGATTTTTGTCTACCCTAAATACTTCACATAAGTGGAATCATACAGTATTTGTCTCTTTATAGCTGACTTACTTCACGTAGCATAATGTCCTCAAAGTTCTTCCATGTTGCGGCATGTCAGAATTTCCTCCCTTTATAAATTGAATAACATTCCACTGTATGTATATACCACATTTTGTGTACTAAGTCATCCATTGATGAACACTTGGTTGGCTTCCATGATTTAGCCACTGTGAATAATGCTTTTATAAAAATAGGTGTTACAAACACCTGTTTGGTTTTCTGCTTTCAGTTCTTTGGAGTTATATACCCAGAAGTGGAACTGCTGGATCATATAGTATTTTTAATTGTTTGAGGAACTGCCATACTGTTTTCCACAGCTGTTGTACCATTTTACATATCCAGTAACAGTGAACAAGGGTTCCAATTTCTCCACATTCTTGTTATTTTGTTTTCTTCTGTTTTTGGTTTTGTTGTTTTTTGTTTGTTTGTTTGTTTTGATAGTAGCAATCCTGGTGGATGTGAGGTGAGATATATCCTTGTACTTTCGATTTGCATTTCCCTGATGATTAGTGATGTTGAGCAGCTTTTCATGTGCTTATTGGGCATTTGTATGTCTTTTCGGAGAAGAGTCTATTCAAGCCAATTTCTAAACACCTTATTCTTTTCTTGTTAAGTTATAGGAGTTCTCTGTAAATTCTGGATATTATTAGTCTGTTATAAAGTTTATCACATGCAAATATTTTCTCCCATTTCATGGGTTGCCTTTTTACTCTGCTGGTAGTGTTATGCACAAAAATTTTTAGTTTTCATAAAAGCCAATTTGATTCATTTTTCTTCTGTTAAGCTGTGACTTTGGCATAGTATCTAAGAAACTTGAAGATTTTCACTTCACTTTCCCAAAAAAAGCTTTACTGTACCAATGAAGGTTTTTTGTGAAAGCAACTCACTTAAAACTAACTCTCTGAAAACAAGAGATAATCTTTGCTTTAAGCCATTTTGGCTTATGAAAAATTTCATAGAAATACTCTATTTCAAGATTGTGGGAAAACCTGTACAGACAGCATATAGTTGGATTATGTGTTTTTTATCCACTCTGCCAATCTCTGTCTTTTGTTTGGAGAGTTAACCCATTTACATTTAAAGGAATTGCTGATAAGAAGGGACTTCTGTCATTGTTATTTATTTTCTTTATGTCTTATAGCTTTGCCCCTCATTTCCTGCACTACTGCTTTTGTGTTTAATTGCAGTTTTTTTTTGTTGTTGTTGTGAAAGGTTAATTATTTTTCTCATTTGTTTTTGTCTATATTCGATAGCTATTTTCTTTGGGGCTACTACAGTGATTCTAAAGTTGTAACACTCTGATTTGAATTTATATCAGTTTACTTTCAATACACAGAAAAACTCTTCCCTTTTACAGCCCTATTCCCACCCTTTTTGCTTGTTAATGTCACAAAATTACATCCTAATACATTACTGTGTGTTCAAAAACATTCTTTTAAATGTATTAGTTTCTTAAATTATGTAGAAAACATGGTGAGTTACAAACTAATGTTCCTGTAATACTTTTCTGCCAATAATTGCTTTTAGTAATGCATTAGTCTATTAAAACATAGAGAACAAAAAGCAGAGCTATAAATCATTGTTACAATAATACTTACTACTGTAAGTAGCTTTTATACTTGCCCATGTATTTACCTTTATTGGGGTCTTTATTTCTTCATACTGCTTGGAGTTATTGTCTAGTGTCTTTTCATTCTGCAGGACTCCTTTGAGCATTGATTGCAGGGCAGGCCTAGTGGAAACATATTCCCTCAACTTTTACTTATCTGAGAATGCCTTAATGTATTCCTCACTTTTCATGGAGTTTTACCAGATATAGGAATCTTGGCTGACAATTTTTTTTCTTTTAGCACTTGAATATATTGGCCCACTGCCTTCTGACCTCTAAAGTATTCGATGACAAATTTGCTGACAACTTTACTCAGTATCCCTTGTGATGAGTCATTCCTCTCAAGATTCTTGTCCACAGTTTTTATAAGTTTGATTATGATGTGTCTCTGTGTGAGTCTCTTAGGGTTTGCTTTTGTTTTTGTTTTTTTAACTTGGAGATTGTTGAGCTTCTTAGATGCTTATATTCATGTCTTTTATCAAATGTGTGAAGTTGTCAGACATTATTTCATCAAATACTCTCTGTATCCCTTTCTCTCTTTGTCTTCTGGTCTTCCCACAATATGTATGTTGGTCCACTTATTGGTGTCCAATCGGTCCCTCAGGCTCTGTTCACTTTTCTTCAATCTTTTTCCTTTCTGTTCATCAGATTGCTAATTTCCATTTCCCTGTCTTCAACCTCATCAATCCTTTCTTCTGCCAATTCAAATGTGCAAGTGAATCTTCCGGTGAGTTTTTCATTTTGCAGTACAAGTCACTGTATTTTAGCTCCATGATTTTTTTGTTTGTTTGTTTCTTTTAGCCTTCTCTATGTATTAACAGTTGCATTTTGTCTCCTTTGGTTTCCGTGCAACATCCTTTACTTGTCTGAGCCTCTTTAAGAGGAATGTTTTAAAATCTTTGTCTAGTAGATCTGCCATCAGATCTTTTCACTAACAGTGTATTTCCTCTTAATGTGCCATACCTGCAGTTCCACTGAATGCCTTGTGGTTTTTCAGTTGAAAACTGGAGATCTGAATCTAAAAATATGGCAACTGTGGAGATCAGATTCTACTCCCTTCTCAGAGTTTGCTGTTTTTTGTTAATGTTGTGGGTGGTTTTGGGGGCACGCAAGCTATTGTAGACTGTGTCCATGTTAAGCATCAGCCTAGGTGTAAACCTAAGTTCTTCTCAGATTTTTCTGCACTTTTTCCTTGCCATGTACTGTCACTTTCCAATTTTTCCTGTAAAGGTAATTGTTTCTTCATGTCCTAGTCTTTAATGTCTGGCTTCAAAAGGGGCAAGACCAGAAAAATGAAGGGAAGGAAAAAAGGTGATGGCTTCTTAAGTCCCCTGGAAGTCGCTTCTGGCAGGGGAAGGGGGACGTCAATACGGGGCATGGGTCCAACCATAATAGCTGCTTGGCTCTTTGCCTACACCTTTGAGATCAGAAACAGCATCCTTTTTACCCACCACTGTGCCCATAAGCTGTGTGGCTATGTGCAAACTGCTCCAAAAATATATGCACAGCTGTCTGCAATGCGGCTGTTGGGTGAGGAATGAGTGACTCTGAAACTGACCAATTAACCACACCTTACCTTCTAAGACCTTCCCTAGAATTTTCAAGTCTTCAATGGTCTACAGAATTCCAAAAGAGTTACAGTAAGTCCTCATTTAACATCTATGGCTTTAAGTGAAACAATGTACAATGAAACCAATTTTGCCTTAAGCTAATTGATATAAACAAGATATAAGTGCCTATGGCATCTCATCAATGTTATAAAATGAAATGATGAACAAAATGCTATTCAAGGACCCCACTGTACATGAGGTAGATTCTGCCAGTTCAATTGCTACCTGAGTGGGAAGACAGATTCTTGGTGATTCCTACTCACCATTTTCCTAGAATCCTCTTGTCTTTAGTTTTTTCCACTTTATTTTGCTTCTCTAAGCAATACAGTACAATTGTCCCTGATGCTGAACTTATATAAATAGAATCCCATGCTATATACGGGGGTGAGCAAAGGTAAGTTAATAATTATAATAATAAATACTACAATTAATAAATACATAATACAAGAATAAACTCTGTTCACATTCTCACAACTGTAAACCTACTTTTGCCCAACCTTGTATTCTATTTTGGCTGCCTTAATCCTATGTCTTTACAATTTATTAATACTTTTGTATATAGTTGTAATTTTATTCAATTTCACCACTAGATGGTATTCTAATGTATAAATTAATCACAATTTATTCTATCCATTCTACTAATGAAGGGCTTGGGACTGTTTGGAACTCCTAATGCTTATGAGCACCACGGTACATGTGAGTTTCTCTAGGCCATTCATCTAGAAGCTGAAGTTTTAGGGTATGTGTATTTTTAACTTAATAAAGTGTCTGTACTAATTTAGACTCACACAATCATAGTATGAGATTTTTCCTTGCTTTACATCCAAACTAACAACTAGTACTGTTAGATGTTTGTGCCAGCTCAGTCAGTATAACATGGTATCCCAATGTTACTCTACTTTGCTTTTAATTAATTACTAGTGAGGTTGAACACCTTTTTTTATAAGTTTTGATGGTCTTCATTTAGGAAGTCTTACGTCTATTTTTTCATCAATTTTCTTCTTAATGTAAGCTGTTTGTCTCTCTATTGATCAAGAGAAGCTGCTAATTTTAAGAGTCAAATTTATCAATCTTTTCCTTTATGTTAGAGCATTATGTGGCTAAGTAAAAAGAGTCCCTTACCTTAGGACGTGAACTATCTAAACTATCTTCTAAAGCTGAAGAAAGAATTAAGTTTTGGGTGATTATCTGCCTCCTGCCAAACACCCGACTGCTGTAACAGTGTACACGGGACTAAGGTCTTAGCTTAGCTGAGGTCTTTCTCAGATAATCTGCTTGTTCTACAATCCTGCAGTTTCACCATTCTGGAGTCTCAGCCTGACGCAAGGGTTATTTCACCAGGAGAGCCACCTATGGCAGACCCTGGAATCCAACTATTTTGTGTCTTCAGCTCTGAATCTCCCAAGACACTTCCACCTGTCAGATGTCTCTTCCTAACTGCAAATACCCCGTCTCCCCAGTAGAGAAGCCGCTCTGTGTCACCTTTCTACAGCATATGTATTCTTAAACACAGTGAGGCTTCTTGACTACTTCTCCTTTGAAGGAAGGTACAGAATGCTGTGAGAACCCATAGAGGAAGACCCTAGTGGGGAATAAGGAGTGGGTAACTAGAAAGTAATGAGTAATGGTCAGGAAAATGTCTTAAGATCAAAAAAGAAGATTGAGTCGTGAAGAATATCTTGAGACTCAGCAGGGATGTGTCAACCCAGGATGCATAAAAGAGCAAACTGACTAAGAAGCATGAAGGTGAGTAATATGGTTCTACTGACCATTAAATCAAATAAAAAGAAATAGTAATCATTACCTGCAATCTGTACTGAGCCATCTTCTCCAAGAAGAATATTTCCAGCTTTCACATCTCTTTAAGAAAAACAAAAGTTACATATTAGAATAACATGTATTCTTTGGAGTCACATAATTTAAGCAACTGTTTACTATATTCTTACATATGACAACATTTAAGTGTTATATTTACATTAAAGGTTATTAAGGCCAAGAGTAAAATTTTAAAAATTTTAGTCACTTGTACTAGAATCCAAACATTGTAAACAGAAAGCTAGAATAACATACTAATAGCATGTTATAATACCATAATAACATAATAATAGAATAGCATTTTAGTATAAAATCTAGAAAACCCAGGATGATTAATTATTATATTGGGATAATCATAGTGGCCAAAGAATGTGACCCTCACCTAATTCCACTTTGTAAAATATTTTTTTTTCCTACACACTAATATTCGGTCAATATGTGGTTGAAAACAGGGATCATTCTATGACTGCAGCATAAACACAGATATAAATTATTCAAACATCTATTTTATTGGTAACTATAGCAACTCAAGTAATACATGAATACATTCTTGTTATAAAAACCTAAATATCACTGAAAAGGCCAAAGTCCCTTTCACACCTATTCTCAAGTCTACTATTCTCTCAACATTCTCAACTGTTATCAATCTGATTAATGGAATGTTCCTATAACATATCTGGGTGTTTCTTCCAATATAAATGTTATCATACTATCCATTCCAATCTACAACTTGTTTTTCTCATGCAATAACAAGCTAGTAGTATCTGGTAAAATTTAAATCCCTCAAATCCTATGAGTAGCAAATCCACCTCTTGATAACCTAAAGAAACTGTCACAATGTACAGGGAATGTAAAAGGGGGTTCACTGCAGCATTATTTGTAATAACATTCCCAAATGGTAACAGCCTAGAAAGCCAACAACAGCAGAAAGGTTAAATTAATTCTGTTAAATCCACAAAATGGAACAAGGTCAATCAACATGTTATGACTTGAATTGTCCTCTAATACACACCATTAATTGAACAAATCAAACAGAACAGTGCATTTTGCATGGCACCATTAATGTTAAACACACATACATCTTTCCACATACACCAAACTGAGAGCAATGATGGGCTTTTTTTGTGGAGGGGAGTAGGACTGGAGTCAAGGGGAATGGTGTTTGAGCATTTTGTGAAAACAGAATCATCTATTTATCTTGTAATTAAAAATAAATATAATTAAAGAAAGAAAAGAGCCAGCCCTCGAATCTAGACCAGAAAGAAAAGCAAGGCTAGCTCCTGGAGGAAGGCTTTCTTTGTCATGAAAAGGAACCAGTAAAAAGCACAATGCTTTCTCATTTTCCTGTCCACCTTGTTTTCCTCCATCTTCAGATACAACCATTCCTTGGTACACAATGAACAACAGTTTCACAACTGTGTGTAGCAGCGTCACCATACCAGAGTGTACGATACCTTTCCTGAATATATGCTAAAGCATAAGAAAACTATGTTACCATTTTGAACTGCTTATAAATCCCAACAATTTACAGGACATTTTCCCAGAGGCTAACTCACTTTGCTCTACAAACCTGAAGTCTTTGACTCTAGATACTGTCAAGAGAAAAAAATGGAGGACATTCCCTTCCCTTGGTGACAAAGACTATTCAACTGAGTTAACCATAAACCTCCAACTTCCTTTTTTCCGAGCTCATCTGGAATGTCACCTAAAACTTAATGAAAAAACAATGTATAGTTTACCTAATTCCTCCTGCTTTTTTACAGCGGGCTCTGATACAACATTAATACAGATCATAGAAATATGAATGTATTTCTGGATCTTTCTCATTTCATCATGATCCATATCTGGATCTACATAGTAATACATTTCTGTATCACCTGCACTTACTTATTTAGTACTGTGATTATAACATAGGATCATCGCCCAGATATTTATCAAATAGATTTAAATAACCAAATAGGACACAACCTGCCTCAATCCCTCTTATAAGTGCAATGTTAAATCAACCAATCAATCCAACAAAGCACTGAAACAAAATTTAATTGTTTCTGGAGAGAAGTAGAGTATTAAATCAAGCAATCTAACTAAATAACAAAGTAAAACTTGACTGTTCCCTCCTCACTGTCCCAACTCCTACCTCCTAACTCTGCTCCAAATCTTAGGGTTACAAACCGACACAATGCAGTCAAACAGGATAACCCTAATTACCCATCAGTAGGGGGTCAGTTAAACTGTAGTATATCCAATAATGAAATACTATGACTATTAATGATTATATGTGTTGACATGAAGCAATCTCCAAATATATTTTAGTGAAGAATATTACATACAGTATGTTGCCATTTGGCTGGGCTTTCTTTTTTTTTAAGCAGGAAGGAAAGCGGTAAGATAAACATTATGTTTATACTGACCTAAAAATCTCTCTCAAAGGAGTCAAAAGAAAATGGGAAGAAGTCCTTGTAGGACCAGGGTACTAGAGGTTCAGAGAAGGAACAAGGCTATATTATTTTTTTAGAACAATTTTAGATTTACATAAAAAGTGAGAAGATACTGCAGAGGAGTTCTTGTACACCTTGTACTCAGTTTCCCATTATTAGCATATTACATTCAGTACTTTTGCCACAATTAATGAACCAGTCAGTATTGATTCATCACTATTAACTAAAGCCCACCATTTAGTTAGATTTTTAAAAGTTTTTACCTAATGCTCTTTTTCTTTCCCAGGATCCCATTTCATATACTATATTACATTTAGTTGTCAATTCTCCTTCTGCTCCTCTTGTCTGTGGCAGTTTCTTTGACTTTCCTTGTTTCTGATGGCCTTCATAGTTTTGAGGACTAATGGTCTAACATTCTGTAGGGTGACCATCTAATGGAATTTGTATTGGACTAGTGTTATGAGTTCTTGGAAGGAAAACCACAGAAGCAAAGTGCCATTTTTATCACATCATATCAAGAGTACATAGTATCAACATAATTTAGTCACAGTTGATATTGAGAAGACATTTTTTACCATATACCATTTTGTGCTATTTGAACTTTTTAAGCCAGGTATATGTATTACCTATTTAAATAATGTTTTCTAAGTTTTTATCTTTCATAAAAGCAAGAGATTGTCATCCATTTTCAGTAGAACCTTCACCTTTCCTGAGCAATTTGTCAGAAAATCAATTTATGTTTCCCTTTCAAAACCCCAAGTGCAACCAGCAGTACAGCTTCCAGGAGTAAAAGCAGAGGAATATCATCCAGCGTAACGGCTCATTGGACAATCAAATACACCAATCTGTCCTCACACAAAACAGGACAACTGACCTTTCAAGAAAAAGATTTGTAACTAAATATCTGGCAATTAATACAGTCCTTAATTAAAGACTTGCCTTTACTCTGCCACAAAGGATATCAAGCAACGAGCAGCCCCAACAGCTAAATCCTCCATCCACTCTGGAGGAGCAAGAGTGAGTTCTGTTTTTCACAGCTTAATGCCATTTCTCACATGTCACTACTGCACCAAAGTTACAAATTCCTTTTAAATTTAGAAGGAATATCACAAACATGCTTGACTTTCTCATTAGTAAAAAACACAGTTCCTTCCCATAACATTTTTATGACTCATCAATCAGCATAGTTTATGGAAACTTAAAAAAGGTCAAGAGAAGAAAGAAGTCAAAACAAAAGCTGGCAAACACACTACACTTAGGCATCTTAAACTGACTAAATATCTAACATTACTGTTATAGCTAACTTCTTTAACAGGAAAAATATTGGGTAGGTACAGAGAGAAAAGTATAAATCTAATTTAGAGACCTGTTCACCCCAGTCAAAATCCTCTCAAGTCTAGAGGATCAAGGGGAAGACACAGTAGAGGTAGAAGAAAACTGTTTGACCTGATCCACCAGGCTGACAAAAATCTACCTGAAAATGTTGGACTTTAAAGACATGAAAAGTAGCAAAACCTACTAAAAATACACATCTCTGTTTCCCAGTAAAACAACTTCGTCCCAAACCTGTTGAGTCTCCGTGCATCTCAGCTCAGAGCAGTAGAAGTTCTCAGCTATGGCTGCACATTAAGAAGAACTTGGGAACTTTTGAAAAGTCCCAATGTCAAGATCTCATCCCAGACCAGTTAAATGAATTTTTGGCAGCAGATCCAGGAATTAGTCCTTACTAAAATTTCCCTGGTGATCCCAATATGTAGCCAAAGTTGAGAGTCTCTCCTTTAAAGAGTGAAATAGAGACCAGCCATCTCAGCAACACAGCAAACTAGGCATGGCAAACAGAGGCTTTCATCACTGCTCCCCAGGCCTTTGTCCCCAGACGCACCATTCCCCTACCACAAACACAAAGAAACGCTGGCCAGATTAGGGGGAATGTGTCACATAGCTGAACATAAAATAAAAAAGAAAACGCTAAAGTTTCATAAGTTAAAAAGGGTCAGTTAAGAACCCCAACAGTGAGCCTTGGGAGACAGAACAGAGGCACTGCCCCCGATGGCTAAGGAGCTCAGGTCTTAAAGCCCACCGCTAAACAGAGAACAAGGCACTGAGTTGGTTTAAGGAACAGAGAACAGAGACCCTTCATAAAGCCAGGACGCTGGGAAGACCTGATCACCTCCCAAAGGTCCTGCCCTCAAACATTATCACACTGGGGACTGGGTTTCAACACAAGAATTTTGAGGGGACACAAACATTCAGTGTAAAGCTCCTCTTGCATGAGGAGTGGGTTTTCTCTTGCTGCCTTCTAGACAGTCTCTTTGTGTTCTGATTTCAACCGTGTAACTAGGTGGAGTCTAGGTATAGAGCTCTGTGTATTCATCTTAATCATGAATCATTCAGCTTCTTTAATTTGTAGACTGCTTTTCTTCAAATTTGGAAGTTTTGGGGCCATTATTTCTTTCAGTATTTTTTCTGTCCCTTATATTCATTTAGCTAAATGAGAACTGATATATTTCACAAAGTAGGTGTTAAAAGTCATACAAAATTGAACACAGGCTAAATCTGTGACTGAACTTGATGTGAATCAATTCACTACTTCCTAAAAAAAGACAG